TCAGTTGACTATATGCTTGGATTTATTTTGGATTTGCTATTCTGTTCCATTGGTTTATATGTCTGTTTTTATGCCAGTACCATATTGTTTTGATCACTAGAGCTTTGTAATATAATTTGAAATCAGGAATTGTGATGCTTTCAACTCTTTTCTTCTTTCTTAAGATTATTTTCGCTGTTTAGATAGAGTCTTTTGTGGTTCCACACAAATTTTAGAATTTTTTTTTTTTTTTTTTTTGCCATAGGAATTTTAGCGTTCATTTATTTTTGAGAGAGACAGAGTGTAAGTGGGGAGAGGGGCTGAAAGAGCAGGAGACACAGAATTTGAGGCTGGCTCCAGGCTCTGGAGCTGTCAGCACAGAGCCCATCACAGGGCTCAAACTCATGAACCGCGAGATCATGACCTGAGCCGAAGTTGGACGCTTAACCAACTGAGCCACCCAGGTGCCCCTGCCATTGGAATTTTGATAGGAATTACTTTGAATCTGTAGATCCCTTTAGGTAGTATGGACATTTTAACAATACCAATTTTTCTAGTCTATGAGCACAGGATACTTTTCCATTTATTTGTGTCTTCTTCAATCTCTTTCATTAATGTTTTATAGTTTTCAATGTACAGATATTTCATGTTCCTGGTTAAATTTATTCCTAAGTATTATATTCTTTGTGATGCTATCATAAGTCAGATTGTTCTCCTGATTTCCTTGCCAGATAGATCATTGGTGGTATAAACAAATGCAACTGGTTTTTTTTCCCCAAATGATTTTTGCATCCTGTAGCTTTACTAAGTTAGTTTGTTTTAAAAGGTATTTTTTTGTATGTGGTCTTTAGGGTTTTCTACGTATAAGGACATGTCATCTGCAAATAGAGATCATTTTACTTCTTTTCTGATTTGGATGCCCTTTATTTTGTTGTCTAATTGCTCGAGTTAGTACTTCTTGTTGAAAAGAAGTGGTGGGAGTGAGCATCCTTGCCTCACACCAGATCTTAGCAGAAGAGCTCTCAGTTTTATGCCATGGATTATGATTTAACGTGGGCTTTTCATAAATGTCCTCTATTTCATTGCAGAGATTTCCCTTTATATCTATTTTATTGAGAGTTTTTTTATCAGAAATGGATGTTAAACTTTGTCAAATGCTCTTTCTGAATCTATTGAGTTGAGAATGGGATTTTTGTCCTTCATTCTGTTAATGCAGTGTATCACATTGATTAATTTGCATATCTCTTGCATCCAGGGATAAATCCAACTTGGCTATAGTATGTAATCTTTTTGGTGTGTTGAATTCAGCTTGCTAGTATTTTATTGAGGACTTTTGCCCCTACATTCATCAGAGATATTGGCCTATAATTTTCTTTTCTTGTGGTATCTTCATCTGGTTTTAGTATCATGGTGATTCTAGCCTCATAGAATGAGTTTGGAAGTATTTCCTCTACTTCTAATTTTTGCAAGAGTTTAAGAAGGATTGTATTAATTCTTTGAATGTTTGGTAGAATTCAGCTGTGAAGTCATCTGGACTTTTCTCTGGGAAGTTTTTCATTACAACTTCAATCTCTGTTACTGATATGTTCAGGCTTCCTATTCTTGATTCAGTCTTGGCAGGTTGTATATTTCTAGGACTTTATCTATGTCCTCCAAGTTATCCAACTTATTTGTATATAATCATCCATAATTATCCCTTGATGATCCTTTTTATTTCTGAGGCATTCGTTGTGTGCTTCCTCTTTGATTCCTGATTTTACTTATTTCAGTCTTTGTTTTATTCTTAGTCTAGCTAAGAGCTTATTGTTTTTATTTATATTTTCAAAAAAAGCAACTCTTCGTTTTGACTTTTTTTCTATTGTTTTTCTATTCTCTATTTCATTTATTTCTGTTCTGATCTCATTTGTTTCATTATGCTAACAATGGGTTTAGTTTGTTCTTTTTCTAGTTCTTTGGGGTTTAAGTTAGGTTGTTTATTTGAGATTTCTTTTTTATTTATTTTATTTTATTTTTATTTTTTAATGTTTATTTATCTTTAAGAGAGAGAGAGACAGAGTATGAGCAGGGGCAGGGAGGGACAGGGAAGACACAGAATTCGAAGTGGGCTCAAACTCATAAACTGTGAGATCAGGACCTGAGCCAAAGTCGTGATGCTTAACAGACTGAGCCACCCAGGTGCCCCGAGATTTCTTTTTTTAATGTAAACATTTATTGTTATAAACTTCCCTCTTAGTACTGTTTTTGATGCATCTCATGAGTTTTCGTATGTTGTGTTTCATTTGTCTCAAGATATTTTTTGATTTTCCTTTTAATTTCCCCTTGGACTCAGTAGTTGTTTAAGACCATCTTTTTTACATGTGTATTTGTGAATTTTCCCATTTTCTTGTGGTTACTGATTTCTAGTTTTATTCCATTGGGGTCAGAAAAGATATTTGATATAATTTTAATCTTAAATTTGTTGACTTGTTTTGTGACCTAACATGGGGTCTGTCCTGGAGAATATTCCATGTGAGCTTGAGAAAGAATACGTATCCTTCTACTGTTGGGTGAACAGTTCTACATGTATTTCTTAGGTCCATTTGATCTAGTGTGGTTCAAATCTACTGTTTCTTTTCTGAATTTCTGTCCAGATATTCTATGCCTTATTGAAAGTGGGATATTGAAATCCACTACCATTTTTATATTGCCATCAATTTCTCCTTTCAGATCTGTCAATATTTTTAATAGTTTTTTAAAGTTTTTATTTATTTATTTTGAGAGAGGGGGGAGGGGCAGAAAGAGAGGGAGAGAGAGAGAATACCAAGCAGGCTCAGCACCATCAGCACAGAACCCCACGTGAGGCTCAAACTCATGAACCATGAGATCATGACCTGAGCCAAAACCAAGAGTCAGATGCTCAACCAACTGAGCCACCCAGGTGCCACCGGATCTGTCAATATTTATTTATATACCTAGGTGCTCTGATGTTGGGTGCATATATATTTAAAATAGTTTTATCTTCCTGTTGAATTGAACTTCCATCATTATGACATTCTTTGTCTCTAGAGACAGGTTTGCTTAAAGTCTACTATGATACAAATATAGCCACTCGTGATTTCTGTTGGTTACCATTTTCATGGAATATCTTTTCCTATTCCTTCACTTTCAGCCTATGTATTTCTTCTAGGCAGCATACAGTTGGATCTTGATTTTTTAAATGTTATTTATTTATTTTTGAGAGAGAGAGAGAGAGCGAGAGCGAGTGAGAGCAGGGGAGGAGCAGAGAGAGGAGGAGACACAGAATCCGAAGCAGTTTCAGGCTCTGAGCTGTCAGCACAGAGCACAACACTGGGCTCGAACTCACGAACCGTGAGATCATAACCTGAGCCGAAGTTAGATACTTAACTGACTGAACCACCCAGGCGCCCCTGGATCTTGGTGTTTTTTTTTTTTGTTTGTTTGTTTGTTTTTTATCCATTCAGCTGCTCTATCTTTTTAGTTGGGGGAGTTTAATATGTTTACATTTAAAGTAATTTTGATAGGGAGGGATTTGCTATTGCTATTTTGTTAACTGTTTTCTGTTTGTCTTGGGTTTGTGTTTTTTTGTTTGTTTGTTTCTCTTTTCTCTTTTGATGTCTTCCTTGGTGTTTCATTGGGTTGTTTTGTATTGATAGGTTTTGATTCTTTTTTTGTGTGTGTGACTTCTATAGGTATTTTCTTAGTAGTTCTAAGGGGCTTATATAAAATACCTTATAGTTATAACAGTCTCTTTTAAGCTAATAACTTATCTTCATTTGTATTCAAGAACTCTCCACTTTACCTCCTTCCCTATTGATGTCACAATTAGCATCTATTTATATTACATATCCATTAACATAATTTAGTTATAGTTACTTTAATACTTTTATCTTTTAACTTTTATAGCAGAATTTAAAAGTGATTTACCCACCACCATTATAGTAATATCCACCTTTGGTTTTATATTGCTCAAGTTATACCTGAATAAACCCAGAGGTAAAATTTATTCCTGCTAAACTCTTTGGATAAAACTATAGTAACTAAAGCTTTAAAATTCCCAATCGTTTTCCATATTTTCAAGGTATTTTAAATATGTGACTTTAAAACTCACATGTATATTTAGTATTTTATGAGAAAACTTTATATATTGTATTAGTTTCTCAGGGCTGTCATAACAAATTACCATAAACTTGGTGGTTTAAAGCAACAGAAATTTATTCTGCCACAGTTCTGGGGCTAGAAGTCTGAAATCAAGATGTTGGCAGGGCCAAGCTTCCTCTGGAAGCTCCAAGGGAGAATCTTTATTACCTCTGCCAGCTCCTCTTGGCTCAAAGCATTCCTTGGCTTCTGGCTGCATTATTCCAGTCTCTTCCCTCATGTTCTCCTGGCCTCTACTCTGTCTCTTTACTGTGTGACTCTTATAAGGATTTAGGGTCAGATACTCCAGAATGATCTCCTAATCTTGAGATCTTTATGTCTTCCAAGACCCTTTCTCCAAATAAGATCACATTCATGGGTTGCGGGGATTAGCACGAGGGCCTCTCTTTTCGGGGATTCAACCTGCTACACACATACACTCACACACATTAGTTACTTACACATAAGCTAATATATTGATATTGAGAAGGGAAATGGGGTTTTCAGTAGATTTTTTTCATCCTAAAATATAACTTTAGAGATAAGAAAAATACTCTTTCTTTTCTCAAGAAAAAAATGAATTCCACTTTATGAAAATTTTGTGCAGTGTTTTCATAGAGAAAATATAAAGTCATTTTTCAGTTTTTTAAATTTTAAAACTCGAATGCTTCAGTTGGTGAAGCATGCAACTCTTGGTGTTGGGGTTGTGAGTTCGAGCCTCACATTGGGTGTAGAGATTACTTAAAATCTAAAGCAAAAACAAAAAACAAACTCTGATACTATATGCTGCAAATAATACAAAGTAGGCTCCATCTTTCTAATGAATAATAGATTTTTTTTATAATTTATTCCCGTAGTTTCCACTTCTATTTAGTCCCCAGGATCTATTGATTTTTCTGTCCTTGCTAACTTTTATATCTGTCCTCTCCTTTCCATCCAGGTTCCTCTGACCATCCCTCCTTCCTTGTATGGTAGCCTCAGTCCTGACCTTCATAATTTCTTGCCTGAATCAATATAATTGAGCTGCTCTGGTTCCGACTATATCCTACTACCAGAATGAAGATTCCAAAACACAAATTCATTCCGTGAACTCCCGTACTTACCCTCCATTGGAACCCTCTTCCTCTTCTCAGGAGATCCTTACACACAGCCTTTAAAACCTTTCAGGATGTGACCTCTGTCTGCTTCTCAAGACTTACTTCTTGCCATTCTTCTTTCACACTCTATTCTTACATCCCACGGAATCCTCCTAACACTCCAGGTCTGCTTACACCTCCATTTCTGTGTATGTGTAGTTCCCCTGCCTTGAATATCCTTCCCCTCTGCACCTGGCTAACTGACATTTTCCTTCCAAATTTAGCTCAGCTAATCCTTTATCTGGGAAGCCTTCCTTGAATTAGTCCTCTCCTAATTTCCCTTTTTATCCTATTCCCTGGATCTGGGCTAATCCAAGTGCTCTAGTGTCGTCCCCCACCCACACTTTCCTGGGACTTCCTCTGTCACGTCATTATTACATCATATTATTTTTTGTCTATTTAATTTCAATATCACTCTTTTTCAGGGATCTTGCATTTTATTTGCATATCTCCTAGCTTGATATATAGGTATAGTATGTTTTTCATAAATATTTGTTGAAAAAAATGAATGAATGGCTGTTAGAGACTTCATTTCTGCTATCCTGAGAACACTTTATTTTCTTATAGTGTCTAGATTTCATTTCTCAGAGAATTTAGAATAAGAGTATATTATGTACAATTGTGTAATAGGATAAGCTAAGATCTCTGAGAGATGTTTTTATCATGCCTACAGTTTAAATTCTTTACTGTTTAAATATTATAAAAACCATATGTACTTTTATCAGTTTTGATTGTATTATTTTTAATCCCCTTCACTGTTTTGCCTACCCTCCCACCCCCTTCCGCTCTAGCAACCACCGGTTTTTTCTCTACATTCAATGAAGTGTTTCTATCTTGTTGTTGTTTGTTCATTTGTTTTTTAAGAGTCCACATATGAGTGAAATCATTTGTCTTTTTCTGTCTGACTTATTTCATTTAGTATACTACCCTGTAGGTCCATCCAAGTTGTTGCAAATGGCAAGATTTGATTCCTTTTCATGGCTGAGTAACACTCCATTGTATATATCCCACACATCTTCCATTCATCTGGACACTTGGGTTGCTTCCATTTCTTGTCTATTGTAAACAATACTGCAATAAACATAGCTGTGCTTTTTGAATTGGTGTTTTCATTTCCTTTGGGTAAATACCCAGAAGCGGAATTAATGGGTCAGATGATAGTTCTTTTTTTAATTTTTTCAAGAACCTCCACGCTGTTTTCCAGAGCAGTTACACCAGGTTACATTCTTACCAACAGTGTGTAAGGGTTCCCTTTTCCCCACATTCTTGCCAACACTTGTCATTTCTTATCCTTTTTGATACTACTTATTTTGACTGGTGTGAGGAATTTTTAAATGAATTATTTATCATTTTTTATTCTCCAAGTAAGATGAAGGCAAAGTATCTTATCCTTTTCACTTTGCAGGAACTGATTCCTACAAGTGATAGCAATGTGGTTGTATCTCTTACACGCCTCTTTGAAGTACTACTCTGTGACGTGCTGGAAAATGATCCTACAAGCAAACATATTCGTGTTTGGATTATGGTAGGTTTTATACTTAATGGGATTTTTATTCACAGAATCAAATGTGCCTCTAGAAATGATCATTGTACTGAGGAAGGCATTATAAGATCCAGAACTATTTTTTTGGTGAGCACCGAAAAAATAACTGAAGATAATAATGAAGTTGCCCTGACCTGGTATTCCAACTGAAAAAAAGAAAAAAACATTTTAAGGAAAGTAACATATGCCCAAATGAACCCAAACTATCCTATTCTTATGAAAGATCATAATTTGATAAACACTTAATACGGTGACTTAATACTAATCCAGTATCAATTTAGTGAATTAATTTTGTCTTAAGGTGAAGCCAGGATGTAGGCTGCTACAAGCTGGTTCTAAGAGACCAGAAATAGGCATCCAACTAGTGGGGGTGAGGCCAGCAGGATCCATAGAGAACATAGTTAGGGAGGAGTCAGAGAAGGCCAGAGAACAGGACTCTGAGGGAGCCAAAGGGAATAGGTTTTGTTCACTTCCCTGCTCTGTGCTTTCTTACCATCTGGCACCTTATTTGGAAATACTTTCATCTTCTCTACTGAGTCTACCTTCTCTTCTGCTCTGTGGTAAGAGTGGTTCCCTTCCATTGCTTTCCCTTCACCTCGTTGCCACAGAAAATCTTCTACCTCAGTCACCTCACATTCCAGGATTTCCTGCTCAGCATCCCCTCCTTTCCTCCTCTCCTTTCACCTTTATTAGAAGAAATAGAACAGACATGTTTGAAGCATAATTTATTTGTATCCCCTTTTGTCTCCCAAAGTTTGGAACTGCCTTTTACAGAACTAGTTTTTAATATTGTTCCATACCTATCAATGTTACCTGCTTATAAATTAAAAGTATTTTATGAATAGCTCACCTGTATAACCTTCAAGGTGTATATGTATATGTATATGTATATGTATATGTATATGTATATATGTATGTATATGTGTATATATGTGTATGTGTGTGTGCATATATATATATATATATACACACATTTTTTAAAATTTTTATTCTGTTGGTAAGCCTAAATTCCTTCTATTTTTTTTTAATGGTTTAGAATCATTTTTAAAGACTAATATAAATTGGGGTGCCTGGGTGGCTCAGTCAGTTAAGGATCTATTTTGGCTCGGGTCGCGTCTCACATTCGTGAGATCTGGCCCCAAGTCTGGCTCTGTGCTGAGTATGGAGACTACTTAAGATATATTCTCTCTCTCTCATTCTCTCTCTCTCTCTCTCTCTCTCTCTCTCTCTCCCTCCCTCCCTCCCCCTGCCTCCTCTCCCTCTCCCTCTGCCTCCCCCTCAAAAAAAAAAAAAAAAGACTACTGTAAATTGATACCTGGTTAAAATTTTTCTCTTGAAAATATATATAAATTTGATAGATTTTTTAAACTAGATAAGGCATGTACCTAGAGTAAAATTCAAAAGGCAAACGCAGGTTTTCTATCCATACTAGTGCCCTAGCCATTCTCAAGGCAAATACCATTACCTGCCTTAAGTAGCCTGCTGGAGATATTTGATCCATACTCTCTTTTATGTGAATACATGTTTTACACATGTTAACATACTATGCATGCAGATTTGTACCTTTTCTCACAATATACCTTAGAGATTGTCCCATATCCGTATACTTATTGAGTTACCTTTTTAAACAGCTGCGTGTATTCCAATATGCATAGCATAATCCAATTAAATAGAGCCCTATTGAAGAACATTTGGGTCGCTCCTTATCTTTGGCTGTCATCAGCAGTGCTGCAGTAAATATTTTTATGTATACATCATTTTGACAGGTGGTAATATATTCAAGGATAAACTCCTAAAAGAGAAATTCCTAGATCACTTGGCATGGACATTTTAAATTTAGATAGATAGTGCTAGAGAAATAACGCTCTCTGTGACTTAACTGTGCTCCATTCCACTTTACCTGGACATCTGACCCTTTCTAAATATGTTAACCAGGCCTCCTTAATATGTAAAATTTTAGTTAATTTGTGAGAAATTTATTTTAAATTATTAGTTTAAATTAAAACAATTTTTTAACCAACAGGCTTCCTTCGTATTTTCTTTGATTTGGTCCATTGGAGGGAGTTGTGATACAGAGGGTCGGATTGTTTTTGACACCTTCCTACGGTTAATCATAATGGGAAGAGACGTAAACAACCCGGTGCCAGACTCTGTGGGTAAATGGGAATGCCACTTTGATGAAAAAGGCCTGGTCTATGACTACATGTATGAGGTATGATATAAAATACTTGGCATGGTAAGTTACAAAACACAAAGTCTTGGGTCGGCAGGCAAAACTGGGTTCCCAGTTGTTTTGACCCCTGTGGTTGGTGTTTTAGTCCCTTCTCTTTAGCTTCTCCTCCTTTAACTTGTGGACAGTGTAGATAACTTTCTTTAAGGATATTTTATAATTTCAGATTTAAGTTAAATATATTTTCTCCACTTAAAAATAATAATTTATGGGTTGCCTGGGTGTCTGACTCTTGATTTTGGCTCAGGTCATGATCTCTCTGTGCTGACAGTGTGGAGCCTGCTTGGGATTCTTTCTCTCTCTCTCTCTCTCTCTCTGCCCCTTCCCCACACACTTGCTCTCTCTCTTCCTCTCTCAAGGATAAATGGACATTAAAAAATAATAATTTGCAAAAAGATTCTTTTAAATAGCAAGCACCTGAATAATCATTTGATTCATGCAAATTTTACTCAGAGACATACGATCTGTGGAGGGCTTTGTTACAACTTTAACTAAATCTCGGGATTTATAGATAGAGAAGCATGCCTAGAAAGGTGAGTGGCTAGCAGAGCCAGGACTTGAATCCAGCTCTCCTGACTACTAGTGTGGAAATCTTTCCCCAACACCATGCTAATATAGAATTTTAAGAATATGGCCAGAAAGAGAGAGAGAGAGAGAGAGAGAGAGAGAAATTCATCTTCATTAGTCATAGTGGGAAGTAAAAAAAAAAATCTCTAAAACTAAAAAATCAAGAGATGATCACACAATTAGATTCTTTGAGTTGGAGGTGAATCCCAAAATGTCCAGCTTAAAGAGGCAAAGGTAGTTGCTACTGGAGAGGAGAAAACGAGAGTGGGAAACTGCTCTTTTTCTTAACCTTTGTAAAAGTTTTAACTCTAAAATATGTGCATATGCAACTTTGATAAAAATAAAAGCTAAAACCTAAAAAAACATAAGAATATGAATTACTAAAGACATATACACTCAAACTTGGAAAATTACCACCATCCAGACACATACCATATACATACACAATTTGCTGGAAAACAGGAAAAGATTTTTCAATGCCAGCCATAGCACTGAAGCAGGGGGATAATTAATCCAAAGATAAATGTGTGTTTCTTTAAATAGGGTGGTGGATTCATAGGTGCTTATTAATCTACCTCATGACTATAAAATGTCATATATGTTATTTTAGATGAATTATTCCTACAGAAAGTTTTTATTATTATGATAGACTAGGGTTTTTAAAAGCAAATATGATAACAGTATGTTAAAAAGAGACTTTCAGATATCAAGTGCATGATTCTATTTTAAAACTTATGTTCTCTTGTAGTTGAAAAACCGAGGTCGCTGGGTCCACTGGAATGAATTAATTAAAAGTGCTTATCTAGGAGAAAAACATGTCAAGATTCAAGATATAATAGTCCCTACAATGGACACAATTAGATATACATTTCTAATGGATTTGAGTATTACCTATGCAAAGTAAGCAACTCTTATGAAAATGCATTTTAAATATAACAGTGCCATTCTAATAGGATCATAGGATTTTTGAAGTAAACATAAAGGTAATCCATTTTCAGATAATGGAGACCCTCGGGGACTAACTGACATGCTAGCAGTGACCTCTGTTACTAGTGGTAAACCTAGAATCCAGGTTTTTCTCCTGCCTACTCCAGAAAATTACCTGCCATATTTGTTGCCTCATAAACGACTTTATATTTCTTGTATTTGTAACAGCAGACTAAAAGTCAGTTGCAGTTGGTGAAAGGCATGCATTCTACTCACAAGTTCAATATGCTCCTGAGTATCAGACACACTATGATCCACAACCTCCCACTTAGAATTTTTCAAGTATGTCCTATGCCAGTTCTTCATAGCTTAAGATGAATGTGGAGATCTCAGACTTAAATCAGAAGAGCCCATCAAAGAAGAGGACAGGAAACTGATCAAAAGTCTAGTCTGTACTGTAGGCATATTCATACCAACTTTCTTTTTTTCAACGTTTATTTATTTTTGGGATAGAGAGAAACAGAGCATGAACGGGGGAGGGGCAGAGAGAGAGGGAGACACAGAATCGGAAACAGGCTCCAGGCTCTGAGCTATCAGCCCAGAGCCTGACGCGGGGCTCGAACTCACGGACCGCGAGATCGTGATCTCGCGACCTGGCTGAAGTCGGACGCTTAACCGACTGGCCACCCAGGCGCCCCACATACCAACTTTCTTAATAACATTTCTGTAGTTATTTTTCTTTTAAAACATTAGGCATAATTTATCATTGATGCTATTTAAATGAGACAAGCTTACATAGTGTGCATGAATGTCATGGTTTATTTGTTTTTGGTGAAGAATCTGTTTTTACGTGAATTTTGTGACAGTTTTATCTTTTTAATTAAAGAAAAAACAGAAAAAAAAAATAGCCCGTGAGGTACATTATTTCTATTATTAGATTAAAAAATTTTTTAATCCAGTATAGTTAACATACAGTGTTATACGTTAGTTTCAGGTTTACAATATAGTGATTCAAAACTTCTATACATTACTCAGTGCTTATTTGTTAAAGTTTTACACGTAGAGGCTAATATTGAAAAGAAAAAGGAGGGGCGCCTGGGTGGCGCAGTCGGTTAAGCGTCCGACTTCAGCCAGGTTGCGATCTCGCGGTCCGTGAGTTCGAGCCCCGCGTCGGGCTCTGGGCTGATGGCTCAGAGCCTGGAGCCTGTTTCTGATTCTGTGTCTCCCTCTCTCTCTGCCCCTCGCCCGTTCATGCTCTGTCTCTCTCTATCCCAAAAATAAATAAACGTTGAAAAAAAAAATTAAAAAAAAAAAAAAAGAAAAGAAAAAGGAACGGAAGGCACTTGCCAATTCTGGGGATATCCTAGTATAAGAATTCTTTTCCCCTTTTGTGCCATGAACCATTTGTCAGAATAATGCTTTTTTAAAATGTTTTTATTATTTTTTAGAATAATGCTTTTAAATGACTACATACAAATACAAAATTGTGAAGGAAAGGACATATTGAAATACATTTACTAAAATATTGAACAAATCTGACCTATGTTTGTGTAATTCATGTTTGTTGACACATTAAGATCGATGATCTAGCAGTGAGTCTGATGCCTATCACAATTTTGAAGAAGTAATAAGCATAAGTGATATTTTTGAGATATCTGTAACCATTGTAATATTTAGAATATTATCTGTGATTTCTATTGGTGACAAAGACACAGGTACTATTGATACAATCGCTCCATTTTAGTTAAGGATAGTAAAAGCAAAGATACAACTTTTTTGTCATCCAAGTTCACAGATTCTCTGAACGCTAGGAATTTCTTCCATTGGTCCTGGGCCCCAAGTTAAGAACAGTATTTTATTTTATTTATTTTTTAATTTTTTTAATGTTTGTTTATTTTTGAGAGACAGAGCATGAGCAGGGGAGGGGCAGAGAGCGAGGGAGGCACAGAACACAAAGCAGGCTCGAGGCTCTGAGCTGTCAGCATGGAGCCCGAGGTGGGACACAAACTCACAAACTGCGAGATCATGACCTGAGCAGAAGTCAGATGCTCAACCAACTGAGTCACCCAGGTGCCCCAAGAACAGGATTTTATTAAAAAAATTTTTTTAACAAATAGTTGTCTATAAGGCAAGTGTTACTCAGACTGAAACATGTAGATGAAGTTTCAGGGGCCACCATAGTTCTTTTTTTTTTTTTTTTTTTTTTTTCTAATTTCTATTTAATTTATTTTTTTAATTTACATCCAAATTAGCATATAGTGTAACAATGATTTCTGGAGTAGATTCCTTAATGCCCCTTGCCCTTTTAGCCTGTCTCCCTTCCCACAACCCCTCCAGCAACCCTCTGTTTTCCATATTTACGAGTCTTTTATGTTTTTGTCCCCCTCCCTGTTTTTATATTATTTTTGCTTCCCTTCCATTATGTTCATCTGTTTTGTATCTTAAAGTCCTTATATGAGTGAAGTCATATGATATTTCTCTCTCTCTGACTGACTTATTTTGCTTAGCATAATAGCCTCTAGTTTCATCCACGTAGTTGCAAATGGCAAGATTTCATTCTTTTTGATTGCTGAGTAATACTCCATCGTGTTATCCATTCATTCATTGATAGACATTTGGGCTCTTTCCATACTTTGGCTATTGTTGATAGCAGTGCTGTAAACATTGGGGTATGTGTGACCCTATGAATCAGCATTCCTGTATCCTTTGGGTAAATTCCTAGTAGTGGAACTCCTGGGTCATAGGGTAGTTTTATTTTTAATTTTTTGAGGAACTTCCATACTGTTTTCCAGAGTGGCTGCACCATTTTGCATTTCCACCAGCAGCACAGAAGAGATCCTCTTTCTCCGCATCCTCACCAACATCTGTTGTTGCCTGAGTTGTTAATGTTAGCCATTCTGACAGGTGTGAGGTGGTATCTCCTTGTGGTTTTGATTTGTATTTCCCAGATGATGAGTGATGTTGAGCATTTTTTCATGTGTCGGTTGGCCATCTGGATGTCTTCTTTGGAGAAATGTCTATTCATGTCTTCTGCCCATTTCTTCACTGGATTATTTGTGCTTTGGGTGTTGAGTTTGAGAAGTTCTTGATAGATTTAGATACTAACCCTTTATCTGATATGTCATTTGCAAATATCTTCTCCCATTCTGTTGGTTGCCTTTTAGTTTTGCTGATTTTTCCTTCACTGTGTAGAAGCTTTTTATTTTGATGAGATCCCAATAGTTCATTTTTGCTTTTGTTTCCCTTGCCTCTGGAGACATGTTGAGTGAGAAGTTGCTGCAGCCAAGGTCAAAGAGGTTTTGCCTGCTTTCTCCTCAAGGATTTTGATGGCTTCCTGTCTTACATTGAGGTCTTTCATCCATTTTGAGTTTATTTTTGTGTATGGTGTAAGAAAGTGGTCCAGGTTCATTCTTCTGCGTGTCACTGTCCAGTTTTCCCAGCACCACTTGCTGAAGAGGCTGTCTTTATTCCATTGGATATTCTTTCCTGCTTTGTCAAAGATTAGTTGGGCATATGTTTGTGGGTCCATTTCTGGGTTCTCTATTCTGTTCCATTGATCGGAGTGTCTGTTCTTGTGCCTGTATGGGCCACTGTAGTTCTAACAGAACTTTAATTTTATGGTGCTTCAGTGATAATTTTTAAAATTAATATTAACATAATTTGGGTCCCTTAGATGACCGTGTACAACAGGACACTGCTTCTCAGCTTTAGCATCCATCCTTGTGTTTGTCTTTATGTATTGTGGGGTGCCAAATTATCACTCAGAGTGTCGGTATTTAATTTTTAATTCTAAACAAGATTTCCACTGTGATTCCCCACAGTTCTGTGGACATAAATTCATAGGATTTTTTTTCCTTTTTAAATTAGTTATGATCACTCAAGAATGAGAAACCCTGGGGCTTCTGGGTAGCTTAGTCAGTTAAGTTTCTGACTTTGGCTCAGGTTCATGGATTTGAGCCCCACATCCAGCTCTCTGTTGTCAGCACAGAGCCTGCTTCAGATCCTCTGTTCCCCTGTCTCTTTGCCCCTCCTCACTTGCACTCTCTCTCTCAAAAATAAATAAAACATTAAATAAAAAAAAGAATGAGAAACTCTGCTTGAGGCCCCACTGAATTGAGAATTCCTTAGAGTTTACTTTTAGACAAGTGTTTCTTTTTTTTTAATTTTTTAATTTTTTAATGTTTATTTATTCTTGAGAGAGAAACAGAGACAGAGTGTGAGTGGGGGAGGGTCAGAGAGAGAGGGAGACACAGAATCTGAAGCAGGCTCCAGGCTCTGAGCTGTCAGCACAGAGCCCGACGTGGCGCTTTAGACAAATGTTTCTAAAGGCTATTCTAAAATGCTATTTTAGATTCTAAAATCCGGTTAAGAGGTATATATCACTATTGTATTAGCTTTAGATTCATGGTCACCTAGTTTTTACTAACTGTGAAACAGCCTAATCCTGTCTTACTGTCTCACCTTATTAGTCTCTTCCACATTGCACCCCCTTGCCCGTACCTCCAACTGAAAGTACAAAAATACATCCCTTTTCTGAGGAGACAAGCTTTAGCTTTCTTTTCTGAAAAGCAAAGCATGTTATTACTTGTTTATGAGTGGTTTTGCATATAGTAATGTTACATCTGTCCAAATAATAGTTTGATACTATTAAAGTCTCAGTAACAGTAAACGAAGTGTGTGCCAGCCCTCACTTTTTTTCAGTCTTACATGATTAAAACATGAATTTTTAGATGAAGGTGATTTGATTATTTAAGTTTGCAACCAATTTCAGCCTTCTTCAGTAAAAATGTTCTGTCTTTTTCCCTTTCAAATGATATGTTCATTGTTTTCATAAAGGCCATTGCTTTTTGTGGGTCCAACCGGTACAGGAAAATCAGTGTATGTGAAGGATAAACTAATGAATCACTTGGAAAAGGACCAGTATTTCCCTTTTTATATTAATTTCTCTGCACGGACCAGTGCCAACCAGGTTCAGGTTAGTTTAAAGCCAGAAACATGGGTCAATAATGAACTTTTTTACCTTATTTGATTAGTTTTTAAAATTGTATATTAAGGGTGGGAGGGAGGGTGATGGGTATAGAGGAGGGCATCTTTTGGGATGAGCACTGGGTGTTGTATGGAAACCAATTTGATAATAAATTATGAGCAGCTGTGTAAATCTTCTATAAATTTAAGTAAAACTAAAGAACTCTTGGTTTTTGCATTATAAGTAAGTTTTTGGTTTTTTTTTTTTTTAATTTTTTAATTTATTTTTGAGAAAGAGCACAAGTGGGAGCAGGGGAGGGACAGAGAGAGGGGAACAGAAGATCCTAAGTGGGCTCTGTGCTGACAGCAGGGAGCCAGATGTGGGGCTCCATGACCTGAGTGGAAGTCAGGGGCTTAATTGCTTAATCGGCTGAGCCACCCAGGCACCCCTATAAGTAAGGTTTTAAAAACAAGTTTTAAGGCAAAAGTTCAAGAGAGCATTTTTAAAAAATTTATGTTCCCATCTGTATTAATTAAATTTGGGGGTTGAATATTGATTTTTATTTTAAACTTGCCTATTTAAAAACAAAGGATAAGAGGCACCCCAGTTGAGGCGCCTGGGTGGCTCAATCGGTTAAGCAACCAACTCTTGATTTTGGCTCAGATCATGATCTTATGGTTCCTGGGATGGATCCCCACATCTGGCTCTGTGCTGATATTAGTGGGGACTGCTTGGGATTCTCTCTCTTCTGCTTTCTCTGCCCCTTCCTTGCTCATGCACACATGTGTGCACTCTCTCTCAAATAAATTTTGAAAACATAAAAGGACACCAACATAATAATGTTGGAACCACATTCAAAGGAACATTTTTGCATGATTGCTAAATTATTGAGCTTTGTCATCCTTTTTTATAAGCACCAGAAGAAGCCACAGTTGATTTCTTAACTGTAGAAGACACCGGGGGAGAGAAAAAGAAATTTCAACTGTTCTTTTTAAACTTTCCTAGAGGGTCCCTAAGGGTGTTGAAGCTCTGTCCATGAAAGATCTTTCAAACTGTGGATTTTTGTATGATCTTCGGTGACAATAGGTGACAGGAACCTAGCAGCTGGGCATCCCCATCTTTGTGCCAAGTTTAAAGTACTGCATGAGACCCTTTCTAGTCACCATTTTAATCATCCATGCCTAAATTCATGTGTGTCCATTCTCACCTGACCTAGGGGACTCATTTCTGTTGTTTTAAGCCTATAGAATTCCCTTAATTTCAAAGTCGTATAAATTTAGATTCGTGCTTTTAGACATTAAGTTAAAGTTAATAGGTATGTTGGGGTATCCAATGAGGAAAATATTTTGCATTTGTGTGCAATATAAATATATAAATAGGTATGTATGTAACAATTCTGAGCCCATAGAAGGATTTCAGTAAATGCTTTTTGATGTTGAATATAAGGTTTGATATCACCCTAAAAATGAATAAATATAAACACACACAAGAGTGCTTCTTGTCATTATTTCCTTATACAGTTAGACTGTAAATTCTTTTTTTTCCCCCTAATGTTACGTATGGCTTTAAATACTACTCTTCTTTATATTTTAGAATATTATTATGGCTAGATTGGATAAAAGACGCAAAGGAGTTTTTGGACCACCTATGGGAAAGAAGTGTGTAATTTTTATAGATGACATGAATATGCCTGCATTGGAGAAATACGGAGCTCAACCTCCTATTGAATTATTACGACAATTTTTTGACTGTGGGAACTGGTAACTATTTAACTGAAGTTTTAACTAGCCATGCTAAAGTCATTTTTGTTCTCTTTTTCTATTTGACTCACATCAAAGTAATACATGTTTTCAATATTTATGGGAAAGAACGGTTGCTTAGATTTTCCTCTACAGAAATTTTTAGAAGACTTTTCTATACCTTTTGATGACGTTCTGTCCTCTGAACGTGTGAGTTAGATTACTGGGATGGGTAATCCGGTATTGGAAATGTATTTACTCAATAATGTAGTAAACTCTTTCCTTTTCAACTATTATTTTCAGTCACTGAAAATAACTTACAGATTACATCTTTCAAAGTTCCATTCTCCCAGGGCTGAGAATTTGTGGGTAGACTTCAAACTAAGGAACCATAATCAGCACCCTATGCCTCTGCTGCTTTAAATTTCTGTATTTTATGTGACTGCCATATCTCTGAGATAGGACTGCCATATCTTTGAGAAAGATTTGTCAAAACCATTTTGGTTTTGACAGCAATTTCATAGATAATTCTTCCGCTCCCTCCATCCCATTTTTATGATGATATGATTAGTTTCCAATATGTGAGATATTGTATTTTTTAGTTAAGATTAGTAATTCTTCATTCCCTCCTCTTAAATATACTTCCCTAAGGCCCCAGTATGCATGGTTTTTCGTTTGTTTGTTTGTTTGTTTGTTTGTTAATCAAAGGCAAGGGTAGACTAATGTTGAAGCTAAGTCATATTTTTGAAATACATTTTTGTTATTACTACAGACCCTTGGAATCCTGCCTCCAGGAGATAACTCCTATTCCTTCAAGGTGTTTTTTTTCTATACAAATACATTTTTATTTTAAAAAACAGACATGTTATACAATGTTTTATAACTTATTTTCACTTAAAAATTTATCTTGAGCACCTATTCATGTTGTTTATTTCATTCATTTTATTGGCCTTTTATTTTTTCATTTCATTGGCTTTTAATACAATTTAGTTGTGTAGATCCTGCCATAATTTATTTAACAAGCCCCCTACTGATAGTTATTAGGGTAGTTGCCAAAAACCAAGTCATATTTTCATACTTTTTGTTAGGAGTACTATTAGACTAAGGACTGCCTGTAAAGATTTCTCCCACATTCCCTGCCCCCTTTTTGTAAGAACTTCAGTATTAAAGGACTTAATGGCCTGTTAGAAATAGGCACATTTTCACTCTGGTTCCAACTAAGTTGAGCCATTTATATATTCCTTTCTGATTAAAACTTCTTTGGAGCTTTGTTATTCCCCCATTGTGTCTCTCTTTACATAACAAAAGCATTACAGGTACTATTTAGGCATCTTTATGTGCTCTGAAGATAAGATGTGAGATGCGAAAACAAAATCAGGACTTTGCTGTAAGTAACTGGATGACTATATAATTTATTGCTCGGACTGGGACATTCCTAAGCACAAAAGGGGAGTGTTATTAATAATGACTCCAGGGGCGCCTGGGTGGCTCAGTCGGTTAAGGGGCCGACTTCGGCTCCGGTCATGATCTCACGGTCGGTGAGTTCGAGCCCCGCGTCGGGCTCTGTGCTGACAGCTCAGAGCCTGGAGCCTGTTTCAGATTCTGTGTCTCCCTCTCTCTCTGCCCCTCCCCTGTTCAAGCTCTGTCTCTCTCTGTCTCAAAAATAAATAAATGTTAAAAAATAAATAAATAAATAATGACTCCAGGCAAGCACAAACCAGAATTGTCCTAGGCAAAATGGCATATGTGGTCACCCTACCTATAACCAGCTACAAACAAGAATGATCTCTCATCCATGCTTCTGGATTTGGAGTGAGGGAGGAAAAAGTAGAGAGTCAAACTGGAAAGGGAAGGGTAAAATGAAAGGACATTATAGATACCCAGAATTTGGCAACAGAATTAGTGTCACTGGAAGGAGAAATAGGACACTGCTTTAAAAAACATTCTCGGGGCGCCTGGGTGGCGCAGTCGGTTGAGCGTCCGACTTCAGCCAGGTCACGATCTCGCGGTCCGTGAGTTCGAGCCCTGCGTCAGGCTCTGGGCTGATGGCTCGGAGCCTGGAGCCTGTTTCCGATTCTGTGTCTCCCTCTCTCTCTGCCCCTCCCCCGTTCATGCTCTGTCTCTCTCTGTCCCAAAAATAAATAAACGTTGAAAAAAAAAATTTAAAAAAATAAAAAAATAAATAAAAAATAAAAAACATTCTCTTCTGGGGCCCGTGGGTGGCTCAGTTGGTTAAGCATTCGACTTAGCTCAGGTCATGATCTCGTGGTCAGTGAGTTCCAGCCCCGCGTTGGATTCTGTGCTGACAGCTCACAGCATGGAGACTCCTTTGGATTATGTGTCTCTGGCTGTCTCTGCCCCTGCCCCACTTGCACTCTGTCTCTCTCAAAAATACATAAACATTAAAAAACACACACCACACACATTCTCTTCACAGACTGGTGGTTGCCTGAGGCAGGGGTTGGGGGATGGGTGAAATAGGTGAAGGGAGTCATAAGGTTATGTCATAAGCCATACGTTTCCAGTTATATAATGGGTAAGTCTGAGGGATGTAATGGATAGCACGGTGAATATAGTTAATAATACTGTATTGCATATTTGAAAGTAGCTAGGAGAGTGGATTTTGAAAGTTACCACAAGAAAAATTTCGTCATCATGTGTAGTGATGGATGTTAACTTGACTTACTGGGGTAATTGTTTTGCAATATATACAAATATGGAATCATTATGTTGTGCACCTGAAAGGAATATAATGTTATATCAAATAAAAAAATATTTTTAATTATTTTTGTTTTTCTACTCCAAGCATTTTCTAGGGTTCTTCCCTTTATTTATTTAAAACAAATTTTAAATGTTTGTTTATTTTTGAGAGAGAGAGGCGGGGAAGGGGCAAAGAGAGAGGGAGACAGAATCCGAAGCAGGCTCCAGGCTCTGAGCTGTAGGCATGAAGCCCAATGCAGGGCTGAAACCCACGAACCAGGAGATCATGACCTGAGCTAAAGTTGGACACTCAACTGACTGAGCCATCCAGTACCCCTAGGGTTCTTTCTTTTAGAGACGCTAAAATCAGATTACATTTCTAGGCAGATCAACATTTCATTCTATCTTTACTGGCTTATAACTGATTGCTTTGGAATTTTTATGTGCTTTCAAGGTATGACCTTAAGGATACAAGTAAAATCACATTGGTTGACATAGAGCTGATGGCTGCCATGGGCCCTCCAGGTGGTGGAAGAAATCCAGTCACTCCTCGTTTTATTCGACATTTCAACATCTGCTCTATTAATACTTTCAGTGACGAAACTATGGTCCGAATCTTCTCCTCAATTGTAGCATTCTACCTTAGGACTCATGAGTTTCCTCCAGAGTACTTTTTAATTGGGAACCAACTTGTCAGTGGGACAATGGAGGTGAGCACATAATGCAATATAAAATGTTTTAGTATTTCGTATATTCCTCATTTGGTCCTTTTTTTTTTTTTTAACATTTTTTTCTTAGTCATTTACTTTGGTCTTCGGTATCTAAGAAACTGTTAAGGAGGCTTGAGAACAGGAAGATCAGAGGCTTTGAAATCAGGGAATCTAACTGGGTTTGAGCCTTGATTGCCATTTCCTAGCTATAAGTGGCCTAGAGAAAGTAATTTGAACTTCTAGAAACTCAGTTTTTTAATCACTAAAATGGAAGATAGCACCTATTTCACAAGGTTGTTATAAGGAAATAATTTAGAATCAGTATCTGCCACACCACAGGGGTTTCCCTAATTGTTAGGTTTCTACCCTGGTGTTTATGGATTTTTTTCTTCCCTTCTAATCTGCATGTTTGTCTTTAAAAAGAAATAGAGGGAGTGCCTGGCTGGCTTGTTTGGTAGAGCATGCAACTCTTGATCTTGGGGTTGTGAGTTCTAGCCCCACATTGGGCATAGAGCCTAGATAGATAGATAGGGAGATAAATAGGGGAGATAGATAGGGAGATAGGGAGATGGTGAGGTTGGGGGACTTTAGCTTATGAATGCATCCTTTTTAGTCATACAACATAATTTAGGAGTAGCAGTGAAAAAATATAATAGTAAGGAAACACAAGGGTGGGAACAGAAAACAAGACTGCCTAATGGCTTTGCATAATTCAGGGTGTGTTATCTGCCTCTACTCAGAGGGCATAGCCAGCCTCATCACCAATGGTAAAAGGGAAAATTGTATATAAGGTAAGTGAGTGATAGATCACTGAACTAAGCTTTCTGGAGCGTTGATAAAGTGGGGTTCACTGTGGGATCACTGCAACCAGACGCACAAAACTCCCTAGAATCATTCCATCAGTTTCCGAGAGCATTGTGTTTTTCTGAAGTTTCTGCCTTACTCTGGTGGAAAATTTGTGCTGTTAAAATAGAGAAACTATGAGCAAAGGGATAGTGCATTGAAAGTACTAAACTTATTCTGATACAGAAAAGTTCTTCTATTTATAAAATATGTTATATGTATTTTAGACATCTCCTGGAAAAAGAAGGGAGTTGGTGAGGCAGAAAGGGATCCTTTTTTTTTTTTTTTTTTTTTGAAGTATTTTAGACCTACCACATTGCAGATGCTGGGGATAATCATAGAACACAGACAAAAAAATAATTTCATTTGAGGTTTTTTGGGGGGCTATATTATAAAAAGACTTAATTTACTTATAGAAAATATTAAAGTTTATTTGGTGAATTTAGCAAATAGTAAAAACATACATTATTTCCATATTATAGCCAATCGAGATAGAAGGGAGAAGAGGCAGAAAATAAGAGCAAAGGGAAGGAAGAGGATACATTGATTTGTTTTGAAGTCAAGGGTAGCCAAAGGAAATTGTTTCATCCTTGCCACCATTTGGAATGATTCAGAATGAGTTATCTGGTTTCACTCTCTACTAAAGTTTTTGCTAATTATTTAATCACAGGTCATTCAGCTTTAAGTGGAACAACTGTAATAACTGGGAAATAAATGCATGGTCACTTCTTGGGCTTGGATGGAATTTGATAATATTAAGTTCCTTTGACTTCATAATGCCTGCTATAAACCAAAATTAAAAAAAAAAAAGCTGTGTGCCATGCTAGACTGGGTACTATACAATTTTCTAAACCAATATAATTTTTTTAAGTTTATTTACTTATTTTGAGAGAGATCATGAGAGCATGTGTGTGAGCAGGGGAGGAGCAGAGAGAGAGGGAGAGAGAATCCCAAGCAGGTTCTGTGCTGTCCGGTAGTGTGGAGCCCAATGTGGGGCTCAATCTCACAAAACCGTGAGATTATGACCTGAATTGAAAGCAAGAGTCAGACACTTAACCAGCTGAGCCACCAGGTGCCCCCAAACCAATATAATCTGATAGGATAAATAAAATATTTCATATTATATACTATTTGTTACATGACTTTGCTTATTATAATCATTATATTGTTCCATTGTCGTCTTTCATATGCAGGTATATAAACGATCCATGGAAAATCTTTTGCCCACTCCCGCAAAATCCCATTACACTTTCAACTTGCGGGATTTTTCACGTGTCATCCGGGGCTGCTTACTCATTGAAAAAGATGCTGTGGAGAGCAAACACACCATGACCCGCTTGTTTGTGCATGAAGTTCTCCGGGTGTTTTATGACCGCCTCGTTAATAACGAGGATCGATACTGGCTGTTCAATTTAATCAAAGCTGTTATAAAGGACCATTTTAAAGAATCATTTGATGGTGTCTTTTCACATTTGAGGAGAGATAATGCACCCGTGAGTATATTTAGTGATTGTATACGTATTAAGTTAAAACAGTACAACAGCATGAATTGTGACAATCAACCTATCTTTAAAAAATATTGTCTCCTCTTAACAATCAAATTCTTTTCACTTCCCTCAATGATAGGTGTTTATTTTGAGAAGATTTGTCTTCAGGGGAAATATATATGTAACATAGAAGTTATTTAAAGAATAAAACCTTATATGATAAGGATTAAATGATATAATAAATGCAAAGTACTTAACATGGTGACCATCCCTTAGTAACTACTCAATAAGTGAGAGTCACTCAGAATGACTTTTCTAGGCTCTTGGGGGAAAATCTTATATAACAGAAAAATTTCTGTTCTTTTTGTTTTTTGAGGATATAATACAATTTTAGGAATTAATTGTATAAGTATATTATTTACCTCTCCATTTATTTTTTTTTTAATTTTTTTTTTAACGTTTATTTATTTTTGAGACAGAGAGAGATAGAGCATGAACGGGGGAGGGGCAGAGAGAGAGGGAGACACAGAATCGGAAGCAGGCTCCAGGCTCTGAGCCATCAGCCCAGAGCCTGACGCAGGGCTCGAACCCACGGACCGTGAGATCATGACCGGAGCTGAAGTCGGACGCTTAACCGACTGAGCCACCCAGGCTCCCCTTTACCTCTCCATTTAAAAGAATTATTTAATTGATAATCATCCTATAACATAGATAAAACAAAATTTTATGTAATATTTCCTTTAATTTATTTTATAAAATGTTGAATTTTGTAACGTGTTGATTTTCATTCTATAGATATCTGAAGGAGACTTGAGAAATCTCATGTTTGGTGATTATATGAATCCTGATCTTGAAGGAGACGACAGACTTTATGTTGAAATTCCAAATATTCATCATTTTAGTGACATTGTGGAACAATGCTTAGATGAGTATAATCAAACTCACAAGACAAGAATGAATCTTGTCATTTTTAGGTACCTACATTTGGTGTTCATGGTGGAAATTGCTATTTGTAAAATTTTTCTGTGAAATATTTAAAATGTATGAAAAGATATAAAGAAAAATATGGTGGATAATCTTGTACTGGTCATGCAACTTAAGACATAAAAAATTAGAAATTTATTTGAAGTCCCTTGTGTAGTCAATCCTGTCTCTCTGCATCCCCATCATACCCTGTAGGAGTAAAAGGAACTCATGTCATGTGCTTTTTACTACACATGTGTGTTCCTGAATATATATGCACAGTCTTATTTAGCATGTTTAATTTTTTTAAAGAGTTGTCTTCTTTTTTTTTTGAGAAACAGAGCCTGAGCAGGGCAGTGGCAGAGAGAGGGAGATAGAATCTGAAGCAGGCTCCAGGCTCTGCTCTGATCTGTCAGTACAGAGCCCAATGTGGGGCTCAAACCCGCAAACTGGGGAATCATGACCTGAGCTGAAGTCAGATGCTTAACTGACCAAGCACCCAGGTGCCCCTGATTTTGCATGTTTATAACTTTTATAAATAATATACTGTATACATTCTTCAGGTTTTTTCCATATTGTTTGTGAGAGTCACAACAAATGAGTTTTTACTACTAACACAATGTGGTCATTCTTCTGAGATGGACTTTTAGGTGACTTTCTAGTTTTTGCAGTTATAAAAAAAAAGATTTGAATATTCATGTCTCTTTGGGTACATGTGTTAGAATTTCTCTAGGTTATATTCCTAAAAGTGAAATTATTGTATTATGGTGTGTAAGGATCTTCTACTTTACTAAGTTTTGCTGAAGTATCTTCAAAAATGATTAAGAGTTTCCATTGTTCTTCACCCTTGCCAACACTAGGATTGCCAGACTTGGTAACTTTTGCCAATCTAAAGGAGAGTGGAATGGTATCTCACTGTGGCTCCAATTTTAATTTCCCTAATTACTAATGAGGCTGGGTCTTCACAGAAATTAATTTTGTAGATAACTGATTTTCTATTTCTCACATATAAATCCTAGTATTAAAAGATTGAAGAGGGGTTCCTGGCTAGGTCAGTTGGTAGAGCGTGTGACTCTTGATCTTGGAGCTGTAGGTTCAAGCCTCACGTTGGGTGTAGGTATTACTTAAAAAAAAATCTTAAAAAAAGATTGAAGAGATTTTTTTTTTAATTTTTTTTTCAACGTTCATTTATTTTTGGGACAGAGAGAGACAGAGCATGAACAGGGGAGGGGCAGAGAGAGAGGGAGACACAGAATCGGAAACAGGCTCCAGGCTCCGAGCCATCAGCCCAGAGCCCGACGCGGGGCTCGAACTCACGGACCGCGAGATCGTGACCTGGCCGAAGTCGGACGCTCAACCGACTGCGCCACCCAGGCGCCCCTGAAGAGATGTTTTTAACAAAAACAGTGATGTGCTTTCAGTATAAGTGGTTACAACTGCATTTCATTTCTATAATTTGTACATTACAGTTCCTGAATTTGTACTTTAGTTTTCCTTTGCATCAAATGATTCAATGGTAACATCTTTTGAAAAACCGCACTTTTTGACGATTATCTCTTTAAAATTAGGGTAATAACATGGGATAGCAAAGTTCATCCTTCCAAGAATATAAAATAATAGTTACCTGTAAATATACATTTACATTCGTATTTTCAAGTATAATAATATTGATATCTCATAGGTATGTATTGGAACATTTATCACGAATATGTCGAATTCTAAAGCAGTCAGGTGGAAATGCCTTGCTTGTTGGACTTGGAGGCAGTGGTCGTCAATCTTTAACCCGTCTGGCTACATCCATGGCAAAAATGCAGATTTTCCAACCAGAAATTTCTAAAAGCTATGGTATGAATGAGTGGAGAGAGGATTTGAAGGTAAAATTATGAAGAAACCTAGTGTCTAAAATAATTATCAGTGCTGTGAAGAGAGAGCCAACCTGTATAGCTGTGTGCTGACTACGTTGGTGATGATGATAATATTATCCATAGAGCAGTAACTGTGTGTGCTGAGCACTGCTCTAAGTGCTTTAAATACGCGATCTCATTCTGTAGGTACAACAATTCAGTGAAGCAGGTATGGTTGTCTCTGTATTACTGATGAAGAAACTGAAGTTGAGGGAAGGTATCCACAGCAGAGCAGGATTTATCATTTGTCTTTTCCACTGCAGCTGCTGATTCTATCTTTATTCTAGTTCAGAGAGGTCTCATTTCCGATAAATGTATGTTTTCCAGCAGATTGTTAAACGTGAACCCTGATGGTGATGATGATGTCATTAATGTTGCCCAATTAATGTTGCTTTCCCAGTAACCAATAGAATAGTGGGGTAGATGCCTGGGGCTTCATCCTCACATGCCTCACATCCCTCACAGAAGGGAGATGATGCAAAATGAAAAATAGAAAGATTGATGGACTTTTTTCACTTACACTCACCCTCACATATGAAGTTTCTATAGCCTAAAAGTTAGCCTAGAGAGCTGGATATGGAAGTGGTAGAATCCAAGCTGATATCAAAGAGGTTTACTTAGACACAGAGCAAAAAATTACAGTATTTCTTTTTCTGCTCTCACTTTAGAGGAAAATTTTTGATACATTTACTACCAAATGAACTAACAGATTGAGAAAGCAGCCTTCTTCAGTAGATAGAACATAGACTTTAAAGTTAGGCAGATTCAGTTTTAATTACTGCTTTGCATGTTTTGTTAGCTATCTTGAGCATGTTACTAAATCTATTTGTACTTTAATTTTTCATTTTTAAATGTTTATTTTTGAGAGAGAGAGAGACAGAGAGAAACAGAGCATGAGTGGGAGAGGGGCAGAAAGAGAGGGAGACACAGAATCCAAAGCAGGTGCCAGGTTCTGAGCTGTCAGCACAGAGTCCGACACGGGGCTCGAACCTGTGAACTGGGAGATCACGACCTGAGCCGAAATCGGACAGTTAACTGAGCCACCCAGGCGCCCCACTTCATTCATTTTTGAGAATTTATTTTAGGTTATACAATTTGTTGGCATACAATTGTTAATAGTATTCTACTCTATTAATTAATTAATTAATTTATTTATTTATTTATTATTTTTTTAATTTTTAATTTTAGAGTGAAAGGAGTGCACACAAGCAGGGGAGAGGGGCAGAGAGGGAGAGAGAGAATCGTAAGCAGGCTCCACACTCAGTGTGGAGCCTGACACAAGGCTTGATCCTATGACACTGAGATCATGACCTTAGCCAAAATCAAGAGTCAGACCCTCAAACAACAGAACCATCCATGCTCCCTCTTATAATCCTTTTTAATTTTTGTAGCATGGGTTGTAATGTCCCCTCTTTCATTTCTAATTTTAGTTATTTGAATCTTCTTTCTTTTTTCTTAATCTTGCTAGATTTTACTAATTTTGTTGGTTAAAAAAAACCCTCTAAGTTCCACTGATTTTTTTTTCCTACTGATTTTTTTAATCCCCTATTTTGTTTACCTCTAATCTTTATTGCTTCCTTTTTCTTGCTAGCTTTGGATTTGGTTTATTCAATTTTTGAGGTTCTATGAGATGTAAAATTAGACTGTTGACTTGAGATCTTTCTTCTGTTTTGATGTGTTTGCAGCTATAAACTTCCCTCTTAGCACTGCTTTTGCTGCATTTCCTAAGTTTTGGGATGTTGACTTTTCATTTTCATTTGTTTCAAGAAATTTTCTAATTTCCCTTGTGATTTCTTCTTTGATCTATTGTTTAATAGTGTGTTGTTTAATTGCCATGACTTTGCAGATTTTCCAGTTTTCCTTCTGTTGGTTCATAGTTTCATTCCATTGTGATTAGAACAGGTACTTGATTTGGTATCAGTTTTCTTAAATTTGTTAAGACTTGTTTGTGGCATAATATGTGATCTGTCCTGGAGAATGTCCTATGTGCATTAGAGAAGAAGGTATATTCTGCTCTTGTTGGGTAGAGTGTTCTATATATGTCTGTCAGGTCTAGTTTGTTTATAGTATTGTTCAAATACTCCTTTTCCTTATTGACATTTTGTCTGGTTCTTCTAGCCCTTATTAAAAGTGAACGTTGAAGTTTCCTCCTATTATGTTGCTATTTCTCCCTTCAATTCTGTCATTGTTTCATATATTTAGGGGAAGAAAAATTAAGTTTATTTATTTATTTTGAGAGAGAGAGAGCACGAGCAGGGGAGGGGCAAAGAAAGAGAATCCCAAGCAGGTTCTGCACTGACATCATGGAGCTTGACAAGGGGCTCGAACCCAAGAACCGTGAGATCATGACCTGAACTGAAACCAAGAGTCAGATGCTTAACCAGCTGAGCCACCCAGGCACCCCTGCTTCATATACTTAGTAGCTCTGCTGTTTTGTGCATAAATATTTATAATTGTTACATCTTCCTGATGAATTGACCCTTTGATCATTATGTAATGTTTCCTGTCTCTTATAACAACTTTTTACTGTTTTGTCTGGTATTAGTATAGCTGCCCTGCTCTCCTTTGGTTACCATTTTCATGGAACATCTTTTCCATTATTTCACTTTCAACCAATGGTGTGCCCTTCGGTCTAAAGTGAGTCTCTTCTAGGCAGCATATCATTGGGTCCTGTTTTTAAAATCCATTCTGCAAAACTATATATTCTGATTGGGGAATTTAATCCATTTGCATTTGAAGTCGTTGCTAATAGGGAAGGATTTACTGTTGGTGTTTTGTTTGTATTTGGCTTTTTTTTTTTCTCAAGTTAATTAACATACAGTGTAGTCTTGGCTTCAAGAGGAGAATACAGGGATTCATCACATACATATAATACCCAGTGCTCATCCCACCAAGTGCCCTTCTCAATGCCCATCACCCATTTTCCCTACCCCCGTCAAACCTCAGTTTGTTCTCTGTTTTTAAGAATCTCTTATGGTTTGCCTCCCTCTCTGTTTCAGTCTTATTTTTCCTTCCCTTCCCCTATGTGTATTTGGCATTTCTGAATGTTTGTACCTTTTTCGTCCCTCCTTTGCTCTCTTACTGCCTCCCTTTGTGGTTTGTTGATTGTTGGTAGTGACATGCTTTGACTCCCTTCTCATTTATAGAATATACACAAAACTAGATTTTTGGGGAGGGGGAGGGAGTTACTATTGTGATTACATAAGATATCCTAAAGTAGTAATCTATTTTAAACTTGTAACAACTGCAATCACATACAAAAACTACTCCTTTACAAAACGGACACACAAAACCTACTCCTTTACATCTGCCCCCCCTTTATGTTTTTGATGTCACAAATTATGTCTTTATAGACTGTGTACTCATTAACATAAAGGTTTATAAAGGTTTTTGTGCTTTTGTCTTCTAGATTCTATACAGGAATTATTTTTTTTTAATGTTTTTATTTATTTTTGACACAGAGAGAAAGAGCATGAGTGGGGGAGGGGCAGAGAGAGAGGGAGACACAGAATTTGAAGCAGGCTCCGGGCTCCCAGCTGTCAGCACAGAGCCTGATGCAGGGCTTGAACTCACGGACTGCGAGATCATGACCGGAGCCGAAGTTGGACGCTCAACCGACTGAGCCACCCAAGCGCCCCTCTATACAGGAATTAAAAGTGAATTTATACACTAAAATCACAATAATACAGAGTTCTATATTTGTCCATATGTTTACTGGAGAACTTCATATTTTCATATGGCTTTGTGTTGCTGTCTAGCATCCTTTCTTTCTGTTTATTAATGTTTATTTATTTTGAGAGAGAGAGAGAGAGAGCGTGTGCGTGCACATGGGTGTGCTCAAAAAGGAGAGGCACAGAGAGTGAGGAAGAGAGAGTCCCAAGCAGACTCCATGCTCAGTGTGGAGCCCGACATAGGGCTCGATCCCACAACCATGAGATCATGACCTGAGCCCAAATCAAGAGTCAGTTGCCAGACTGAGCCACCCAGGCGTCCCTAGCATCCTTTCATTTCAACTTGAAGGACTCCCTTTAGTATTTCTTTATTTTTTAAAATTTTTTTGAAGGTTTTAATTTAAAAATTTTTAAAAAATTTTTATTTTAGAGAGAGTGTGTGTTAGCAGGGCAGAGGGGCAGAGGGAGAGAGAATCTTATGACCCTGAGATCATGACCTGAGCCAAAACCAAGAGTAAGACACTCAACTGACTGGGGCACATCTAGTGTTAATGAATTTCCTCAGCTTTTATCTGAGAAGATCTTAATTTCTTTATAGTTTTGAAGGACAGTTTTTCCAGATACAGTATTCTTAGTGGAAAGATTTTTCTTTTCTTTCAGCACTTTGAATATATTATCCTACTCCCCTCTTGCCGAGGTTTCTGCTAACAAATATGCTGGTAATATCATGGAAGCTCCCTTGTGTGTGATGCATTGTTTTTCTCTTGCTGTTTTCAAGGTTCCCTTTTTATTTGTGACTTTCAACAGTTCAATTATAATGTGTCTTATTGTGTGAGTCTATTTGGGTTTATTTTAGTTGGAGTTTGTTGAACTGCTTGATTTTTTTAAATTTTTTTAAATATTTATTTGGGAGAGAGAGAGAGCATGAGCAGGAGAGGGGCAGAGAGAGAGAGGGAGACACAGAATCCGAAGCAGGCTCCAGGCTCTGAGCTGTCAGCACAGAGTCCAAAGCGGGGCTCAAACTCATGAACTGCAAGATCACAACCTGAGCCAAAGTTGGCTGCTTAACCGACTGAGCCTCCCGGGGGTCCCTGAGCTTCTTGAATTTCTATTTCTACCTCATTTGTTCACCTCTATCCTCAGATTTGAGAATTTCTTTGAATAAGTTATCTGCCTTTTCCCCCTGTCTTTTCTTTTTCTTGCTCCCATAATGTGTATCCCATTATGTATGTATACCATCTCACTTAGTGGTATCTCATAAGACTCTTTCTAAGTTATTTTTCAATAGTTTATATTTGTTTTGACATTCCCATTTTGTCCATGCACCATTTTCCTGACTTCCTTTAGTTGTCTATCTGTATTCTCTGTTAGCTTATTGAGCATCTTTAAAAGTTATTTTGAGTTTCTTGTTATGTAGTTCTTAGATCTGTTTTGTTGTTGTTATTTTAGGGCTTATTTTGTTTTTGTTTCTGATTGGGCCATGTTTCCCTGTTTCCTTGTATGTCTTGTGATCTGTTGAGTTTTGAGCACTCGATAAACTGCCACCTTTCCCAGTCTTTATAGACTGGCTTCTTGCAGGGTGGAATCTTCACCAATCACCATGTTAGAAAATCTGGGACTTCTCAGAACTTTTTTTTTGGGGGGGGTACATCTTTTTTATGGGTTGTGCATGCGCTTTTGTGTACTCTAATATATACAGGTGCCTTGGGCTATCTTAATTTCCTGTTTCTTCTCATGATCTGTTGGTATTGGTTTTTGTTGTATTCCACTGCCCCTAATCTCTTGCTCCCCCTGGCACCTTCCTGTGGAACTTCAGAGTCTGTGCTGCTCCATTTTGTAAGGGCACTTGCCTCTGTTTTCAGTGGCCTCCAACCTCATATCAAAACTAAGCCCTGTTCCCATAAGTGCCCTAAGACAGGTGAGACAGAAATCAGTGCCTCAAGTGGCCCCTAGACAAGCCAGAATGTTCAAAGTAATTCAACTCTATTCCTTCTGCCTTGAAGAAAAAGCTCTTTAAAAAGAAATCTGATATGATTAAATATAATACTTATTTAAAAGCTACCTTTACTAGTTTTGTTGATAGAAAAGTATTTCTAGGAACACACCAACTTCCATATTGGAGGATGACTTTTATGGGAAAGGCATAATTTTGTATATATTAACATTCAGCATTTATTTAAGTGATATGATTTATTTAAAAGATATAATCTAGAAATAGAAGTTTATTTTAAAAATCATTTGCTGGGGGTGCCTGGGTGGCTCACTCAGTTAAGCGGCCGACTTCAGCTCAGGTCATGATCTCACAGTTTGTGGGTTTAAGCCCCACATCGGGCTCTGTGCTGGTAGCTCAAAGCCTGGAGCCTGTTTCAGATTATGTGTCTCCCTCTCTCTGCTCCTCCCCCTCTCACATTCTATGTTTGTCTCTCAAAAATAAAATAAATAAACATTAAAAAATGTAAAAATCATTTGGGTACCTGGGTGGCTCAGTTGGTTGAGCATCTGACTTTGGCTCAGGTCATGATCTCGCGGTTTGTGAGTTCAAGCCCTATGTCAGGCTCTGTGCTGACAGCTCAGAGCCTGGAGCCTGCTTCAGATTCTGTGTCTGTCTCTCTCTGTTCCTCGCCCGCTCACACTCTGTCTCTCTCCCTCTCAAAAATAAATAAAGATTAAAAATAATTAAATAAATAAATAAATAAATAAATAAATAAATAAAAATTTGCAGAGAAGTAATGCTGTTTTCACCTGAAATATATCTAGTGGAGTACTGGCAAATGTTTAACAACCAACTCTCCAGGGGGTTCAGGAGAACCTCTGCCATTTGACAATTTCTGTGGTGTAAAAACTCCCACCATGGATGATTGAAACTCATGCATGGATGATGTCACTGAAAACAGAGCTGGGAAGAGTTCTGTGTTTGAGCACCATTATATGGTATTTTACTGTATAGACAACAATAAATTTAAATAATTTCCATAAGATAAATAGTAGTAAATATAAGAAGTGATAAGATTTATGTTTTGTTACCTTTGTTATTATAATTATAAGCTTATATAATTTAATTTTTAATGCTGTGTCTAAAAATCTTCTCACAAGTTCTGAAATTTTAACGATTAGTTCTAGCATCCTAAACAAGTCTGCTCCACTATGCCACTGAGTCCGTATCTTTATATTAATTGGGAATCTTTGGTTACAATTGACAACACAACACAAAACAAAAAACCAACTTAAGCAAAATATGGAGTAATTGGCTTACATGACAGAAGGGTCCAGAGGTAGATAGGGCATTGATATGGCCGAATTTAGGAGCTCAAATTAAGCACTCAGTAATTACTCTATCTCCTGGCACTGCTCTCCTCTATTTGGTTCCTTCTCCAACAGACTCATTCCATGAGACAACACTGTTGGCCCCTAGCAGTTTTAGATTACTGGTCTTTATATCTTCCCTCTCAGAATGACAGAGATTCTTTCTGTTTTCAAATCCATCTTAGTCCCTGAAGTAAGAATCTGATTGGGCTGTCTTAAAATTATGCCCTCTTCTGAATCAACAACTATGTCTAAAGGCTCAGGAAACTCTGACTAGTTGGGGTTTCCTACTCAGGGGATGGGAAAATTGGAGACCCTGAAAGATAGCCCCATCAGAAGTGGAAAGAGGTACCACTCTAAAATTGAGATCTCATTCTCAAAAGAAGGGAAAGGAAGGGAAAGCAAAAACAACAGATGTGTACCACATTCTGCTTACAAGTGTATTTTTATTTTAAGGTTCTATTAAGGGACGTGGGCATGAAGGGCCAGAAGACAGTCTTTCTAATCACGGACACTCAGATTAAAGAGGAAGCTTTTCTAGAGGATATTGACAGTGTGCTCAATACTGGAGAAGTACCTAACATTTTTGCTGCAGATGAAAAACAGGAAGTGATGGAGGTAAATGCTTTTTAGGGAGTGCCACTCCCAGCACAGAAATGTTTTTGTCTAGCAACTTTTTCTCTGCTCTTCAGGATAAGTACAGCTTGTGAATAGGATTTTTGTAATTAAAAAATTTAAAGTATACTATTTTAATGTATCTTTTTTTTTGGTAAACTTCAAATGGCTTCTACCATAGTTATGAGATCGAATTTTTATAATTCATTTCTTCCTAATGATGGCAATTTCATCTCTTTTATTTAGTATGTCTTATGAGTGATTAGACCTTTTAAATTACATCTTAGGGTTGCAAAGATAAGAAAAAATAGAACTTTGAAACACTGCTTGAATAGCTGTTATGGTTTACCACTGGTTAACAAATTTTTTAAAAATTAGTAAAGACAAGTACTAAAGTACTAAAGTACTAAAGTAGTTTTAGTAAAACTACTTGTCTCAACAATTCTGACGTGTGAAAATCGTGCTTTGTGATTTAATAGACAAAAAAAGATAGTTGTGAAATGCCAACACGTTTGATGTCCTCCCCTTCTACCCCCATTTCTAATATCTTCCTACACAAGATCTCTACTAGTGCTTTTTCTTTCTTGTTGCTATAACTACTTTTACCCATAGAATATATCACTCATAGCTGGATGCTTCATTTCAGTTTCCAGAGATAACATCTGTAGTAAAATGGATTCACCCTAGTAGTTGAAGCACCTGCATTTCTCTTGTATGGGATGGAGCTAATATATATACATGATAGTTCCTCCTACATAGGGTTGTTGTGAGGTCTGAAGGTCAAATGAAAGGAAGCATTTATGGAGCATTAGGTACTTAGAAAACCCTCAGTAAATGGTATCTTACCAGTCTGTGGCCTGGGGTGGGGAAGGAGAAAAGGAGTAAAGAAAAGATCCCAAGTTCTCTCTTTCATCTGGGTAATGTCAAGGATGTGGCCAAGACTGATGAAAAAATAGTGACTTTCCTGATTCATAGGAAAAATTCATCCCTTCACTCTCATCCAAGAAATAGCCACCCCTGGGGAGTGGGTATTCCTAAGCTTTGCTAAACTTTCCTGTTCACTTTAGCTATTTATTTTTTCATCTTGTCATGTTGCTACAAAACTTTTCCATTGCTTCAGTATTTTGTTTGAAAAGATAAATAAAATTGATAAACCTTTAATTTTTTTTTGAAAAGATAAACAAAAATGAGAAACCTTTATTTTTTTCAAGATTGGTTTAATATTTTTTGAAATTTAAATCCAAATTATTTAACATATAGTGTGATAATAATTTCAGGAATAGATTTTAGTGATTCATCACTTACATATAACACCCAGTGCTAATCCCAACAAGTGTCCTCCTTAATGCCCTTACTCCTTTAGCCCTTTCCCCCACCCAGCACCCACCAGCAACCCTCAGTTTGTTCTCTGTATTTAAGAGTCTCTTAGGATTTGTCTCCCTCTCTGTTTTTATATTATTTTTGCTTTCTTTCCCTTATGTTCATCTGTTTTGTATCTTAAATTCCACATATGAGTGAAGTCATATGATATTTGTCTTTCTCTGGCTGACTAATTTCACTTAGCATAATACACTCTAGTTCCATCTACATTGTTACAAATGGCAAGATTTCATTCTTTTTGATCGCTGAGTAATATTCCAGTGTGTGTGTGTGTGTGTGTGTGTGTGTGTGTGTGTGTACCACATCTTTTTTATCCATTCATAAGTCGATGGACATTTGGGCTCTTTCCATACTTGGGCTATTGTTGATAGTGCTGCTATAAACATTGGGGTGCATGTGCCCCTTTGAAACAGCATATCTGTATCCCTTGGATAAGTACCTAGTAATGCAATTTCTGGGTCATACAGTAGTTCTATTTTTAATTTTTTGAGGAACCTCCATATTGTCTTCCAGAGTGGCTGCACCAGTTTGCATTCCCTGACCAGCAGTGCAAAAGGGTTCCTCTTTCTCTGCATCCTTGCCAACATCTGTTGTTGCCTGAGTTTGTTAATTTTAGCCATTATGACAGGTGTGAGGTGGTATCTCATTGTGGTTTTGATTTGTATTTCCCTGATGATGAGTGATCTTGAGCATCTTTTCTTGTGTCTATTAGTCATCTGGATGTCTTCTTTGGAAAAGTGTCTATTCATGTCTTTTGCCCATTTCTTCACTGGATTATTTGCTTTTGGGGTGGTAAGTTTGAGAGGTTCTTTATAGATTTTGGATATTAACCCTTTATCTGATATTGTTATTTGCAAATATCTTCTCCCATTCTGTCGGTTGCCTTTTAGTTTTGATAATTATTTCCTTCACTGTGCAGAAGCTTTGTATCTTGATGAGGTCCCAATAGTTCATTTTTGCTTTTGTTTCCCTTGCCTCCAGAGACATGTTGAGTAAAAAGTTCCTGTGGCCAAGGTCAAAGAGGTTGCTGCCTGTTTTCTCCTCTAAGATTTTGATGCTTCCTGTCTTACATTGAGGTCTTTCATCCATTTTGAGTTTATTTTTGTGTATGGTGTAAGAAAGTGGTCCAGGTTCATTCTTCTGCATGTCGCTGTCCAGTTTTCCCAGCACCATTTGCTGGAGAGGCTATCTTTTTTCCATTGGATATTCTTTCCTGCATTGTCAAAGATAAGTTACCCATACTTTTGTGGGTCCGTTTCTGGGTTCTCTATTCTGTTCCATTGATGAGTGTCCGTTCTTGTGGCAAAACCATACTGTCTTGATGATTACAGCTTTGTAATACAGCTTAAAGTCCAGAATTGTGATGCCTCCTGCTTTGGTTTTCTTTTTCAGGATTGCTTTGGGTATTTGGGGTCTTTTCAGGTTCCATACAAATTTTAGGATTGTTTGTTCTAGCTCTGTGAAGAATGCTGGTGTTATTTTAATAAGAATTGCTGCTTCAGTATTTTTTTGTGGTATGATCCAGCAGTGACCTTAAGAACTTCTTTCCTTCCATGGGGCGCCTGGGTGGCGCAGTCGGTTAGGCGTCCGACTTCAGCCAGGTCACGATCTCTCTGATCGTGATTTAGGAGCCCTGCGTCAGACTCTGGGCTGATCCAGAACCTGGAGCCTGTTTCCGATTCTGTGTCTCCCTCTCTCTCTGCCCCTCCCCCATTCATGCTCTGTCTCTTTCTGTCCCAAAAATAAATAAACGTTGAAAAAAAAATTAAAAAAAAAAAAAAAAAAAAAAAGAACTTCTTTCCTTCACATTCCAAGTCTAGGAACATCATATCAATTCATCCACAAAGAAGTAGCCATAGTTAGAATTCAAAAGTACTGAAATACATCCCTGTTTCTCTTTGCTTTATGCTGACCTTTTAAAATAGAAAAGGTAAGGGGCACCTGGGTGGTTCAGTCAGTTAAGTGTCTGACTCTTGGTTTTGGCTCAGTTCATGACCTCATGGTTCATGAGTTTGAGCCCCATGTTGGGGTCTGCACTGACAGTGTGGAGCCTGCTTGGGACTCTCTCTCTCCCTCTCTCTCTGCCCCTCTCCCACTCACTTGAGCGCATGTGTGCATGCACATTAACACACACACACAAACACACACACTCTCTCAAAATAAATAAACTTATTAGAAAAATAAAGTTGAAAAGGTAATATGAAAGAAGTTCTATAATTTCTTTCTATACTCTGTACTATCCTGTACATCCCCCTTTGAAGACTACGACTTAGGCTCTGCTTACTTTATCCCTCTGACAAAGATTTTAGTTTAAACCTCACTTCTGATAACTGGCCTGTATGGCTTGGACTTGACCCTGCTTAGAGAATACCTTTTAGACATGTCAGCACATGTCTCTGACTTCAGCAGTAGAGTTCCAGCCACAGACCTCCTTTCCAGACTATTTTTTCCACTGTTCTATTTGCCTTCCTTGCAGAATTAAATTATTTCAGTGTCTTCCTGAATAAAACAGTGACTTCTTAAAAAAAATTTTTTTTAAGTTTGTTTATTTTGAGAGAGAGAGCAAGCACAAGCAGGGGAAGGGCAGAGAGAAGGAGAGACAGGATCCCAAATAGGCTCCATGCCATCAGCACAGAGCCCAGTGTGGGGTTTGAATGCATGAACAGTGAGATATATGACCTGAGCCGAGATCAAGATTCAGACTCTTAATGGACTCTGTCACCCAGGTGCCCCAAAACAGGGACTTCTTATTCGCCACACTTAGTGATATTTTCTCATTTCCTTTTTACAATTCTCATTCATATTTCATGTAATTCATTATTCTCTTAAGTTTTTATTTTTATATACTTAGAGAGAGAGCACACATAGGGGTTGGGCAGAGAGAGAGGGAGAGAGAGACTCCCAAGCAGTCTTCATGTTCTGATAGAGCCTGACACAGGGCTTGATCTCACAAACCGTGAGATCTATTCTTTAGCTTACACTAAGGTTCACTCTTTGTGTTGTACATTCTATGGGTTTTGACAAATGAATATTGATGTGTATTCACCATTAAGTGTCATACAGAATAGGTTCCCTGACATAAAAATGCAATGGGTTCCACCTATTTATGTCTCTCTTCCTCCCCTGAACCCCTACCAACCTCTGCTCTTTTTTATGGTCTCCATAATTTTAGCTTTTCCAGAATGTTACATAGTTGGAATCATACAGTATGTAGCTTTTTTAGATTGGCTTCTTTCAGTTAACAGTCTGCATTTAAGGTTCTTCCATATCTTTTTATGGCTTGATAGCTCATTTATTTTTTATCACTGAATGGTATTCCATTGATTGAAAGTATCACAGTTTATTTATCCGTTTACCTATTGGAGGACATCTTGGTTGCTTCCAAGTTTGGGCAATTATGAATGAAGCTGCTATAAACCTTTGTGTGCAGGTTTTTGTGTGAACATAAGTTTCAATTCTACTTTCCCTTGACTGTTGTGAAATTTTACTCCATTTATCTAATTTTTTCAGTAGCTGCTCATTTTCTTACACCCCTGAATCAGTCCTGTTCACAAAATATATGTGTGTGGGGCGGGGGGGTGGGGGGGGGACTATTCTCCTACAGACAGCTTACCTACCTAGAAGCATTAACCATTATTTCTATGTAAATAACCCCCATACCTAAATTACCATCCTAGCTCTTTTCGCCAACTTTTGTTCTGCAGTTACAACCATATATTACCTTTCTCTATTTGCATCTCGAGTATTAACTCAGACTTAATGCAGGTAGACCACCTGAACATAATTTTGTAGACTAACACTGATCATAATAATCATAATTTGAGAATTACTCTCATAATGCATATACAGAGTCAATTTATAATTTTCCATGAAGATAGATATCCCATAAAGCAGAACATATCTACAATAGAGAATTCTTTGAGAAATCAATTCCTTGCAGTAGCAACAGAACTTATATGATCATTGTGACCATTCCTTATATCTGCTATCAAAACATTTTTTAAAATCTATTTATAAGATAATTTATTGACTATGAAATTTTTTTGTGCTCTGAACAAGGAGAAAGGCAGGATATGAAGTAAAAGCTAACAGTCACTTAACTATGCAGCAAGAACTATTGCATGTGTTCATGTGTAATAACTCAATTGATCCTTCAACAACCCTCTGATATAGGTACTCTTTTGGCCATTTTACAGATGAGGAAATTAGGTTACAGAGAGGTTAAATAACCTGCCCGAAGGGCACATAGGTAATAAACTGCAGGCTGTGACCTGAATTCAAGAAGTTTGGTTTTGGAACCATGATGCCCAAAGTCGTGTAGAGATAAAGAAAGTTAAAAGTCCCCCATAATCTCATTATCAGACAACCCTATTAACATTTTTTAAATATAACAATGTTGTAAGAATAAAGTTAGAGTTCAAATAGCATAAAAATGTCCAGAATGAAAAAAAAGAATGATACAAACCAAAAAAAAGTCCAAAACAAAAAGTGAAAGCTTTCTTCTCATACTCCCCCTTAAGTCCATCTCACCAAAAGTAACTATTGTTAATAGTTTCTGTGATTACTTTCATAAACCGGTGTGTATGTACTCGCACATGCACCTATGTATTCTTTTAACAAAGATCATATTACACACTGTTGCATAACTTGTTTTCTTTTCACTTATTTTATCTTGCTGATCTTGCCATAGCACATTCATCAATGCATTTCATTTAACAGTTGTATAAAATTTACAACCTATGAATGCTTTATAATGTTTTTAACTGGACACTTCGGTTGTTTAGGTTTTTCCTCTTAGAAGCAACATTGAATTATAGTCCTATACATATATCATGGTGAACTTTTTGTGAGTACCTTTATAAGTTAAATTCTTGACAGATATTTATTTTCAAATTATAGAATTATGGAGTTGGAAGAAGTACAAACTATATCAAAGTCACTTTATTGATATAAAAACTTTAAAGATATTTACAAGGGGAATAGTAAAAATTCTTAACATTCCGGTAGTTATTAATCTCATTATCAGATTGTCTGGTTTTGTTTACAAGGTTTTTATTTCCCTAGGGTGTTCGTCCTGTAGCTCAGGCTGGCAGTAAACACTATGAACTCAGTCCCTTGGCCCTGTTTGCATTCTTTGTGAATCGCTGCAAAGATAATCTTCATGTTGTAGTGGCCTTTAGCCCCATTGGAGATGCTTTTCGGAATCGCTTGAGACAGTTCCCATCCCTCATCAATTGCTGTACCATTGACTGGTTTCAGGTTTGTAATTTGGGGGCAGAGGGGTGGGGGGAATGGGCAACTAAATCTTTTAGAATTTTTCTGAAATCTTACTCAAGCTCTATTGATACACATTTAGCACATGTTTGTTTCTTGATTGCTTGCTCTAATGACAGGCATAGTGCTCGGTGCCAGGGACTGATAAGTCTACATGATCCCCACAAGGAGCTCACATTCTAGACTGGAAGATAGAAAAGGCAGTTGGTAAAGGAGTCATCACAATCATATAAAAGAGCTATAACCTTGGTGTGGAAAAGATGTACTTATTAAGACAGTGAATCTCTAAACTATGAAAATGAAATACATAGAGGAGGAGTGTATTAGTAACCAAGAGAATGTATTACACACACACACACACACATACACGCACACACACATATATATGTCTAAAAAGATATATAGGTAGATCTATATCTGTTGATATTGATATCTATATCTATCTATACATGTATTTATTATAAGTAACTGGCTCACATGATTATGGAGGCTGACAAGTTCAAACATCTGCAGCCAGCAAGCTGGAGACCCAAGAGAACTAATGGTGTAAGTTCCAGTCTGAAGGCCAGCAGGCTTGAGATCCAGGAAGAGCCAATGTTTCCATTGGAGTCCAAAGGCAGGAAAAAACTGAAGGCAGTCAGGCAGAAGGAGTTCCCCTTATTCTGGGGGGGTGTAGGAATGTTCAGTATTTTTATTCTCTTCAGACCTTCAATTGATTAGATGAGACCCATTCACATGAGGGAGGGTAGTCTGCTTTACTTAGTCTATTAATTTGAATATTAAACTCCTCCTAAAGCACACTTCATAGAAATATCCAGTGTAATGTTTGACCAGATATCTGGGCACCTGGTGGCCCATAGTAAAATTGACACTTAAAACTAACCATCACAAGGGTATAGTAAGTGCAAAGGGAGAACAGTGAGGCGGGCATGTCTCATTAGGGCAAATGCATATAGTTTGGTACAGGTGACTGGCACTGAGGATAGCAGGAGTTAAGCTGGAGTTTTGAGTTGGTGCCAAGTCATATAGAATTTATGAATGTGCCTAGGAATTTGGTTTTGCACCAAAGACATTGTGGGGGCATTAACATATATTTAGCTAACATATTTAGAGGAAAAAATCCAAATACTTGGAGGCTATATGGGATGGTTTGGAATAGGGCAAAACAAGAGACAGGAAGACCAACTGAGTGGACATTTCAGTCAAGCCAGCAGCAAATGATGAAGGCTGCCACTTCACTTAACCTTAAGGCAGGTTGTCACTGCCTGTGTAAGACCATAAAGTACTTATGCTCTTGAGAATAGTAGCTCATGCACCGGATGTTGTATGGAAACCAGCTTGTCAATAAATTATGTTAAAAAAAAATAGTAGCTCATGGTATCTTCTATTTAATTGTTTTATGTCCAAAAGAATGTGGACTATAGATTGACCCTGGATAATTTATTTTAATTAATTAATTAATTTTTAATGTTTATATTTATTTTTGAGACAGAGCATGAGCAGAGGAGGGACAGAAAGAGGGAGACACAGAATGTGAAGCAGGCTCCAGGCTCTGAGCTGTCAGCACAGAGCCCGATGTGGGGCTTGAACTCATCAACTGCAAGATCATGACCTGAGCTGAAGTTGGACACTCAAACAACTGAGCCACCAGGTATCCTGGACAATTTCTTTTAAAAATAAATTTCTTTGGGGGCGCCTGAGTTGCTCAGTTGGTTAAGCGTCCAACTTTGGCTCAGGTCATGATCTCACAGTTCATGAGTTCAAGCCCCGCGTTGGGCTCTGTGCTGACAGTTCAGAGCCTGGAGCCTGCTTCAGATGCTGTGTCTCCCTCTCTCTCTGCCCCTCCCCTCTCATGCTCTGTCTGTCTTAAAAATAATTAAAACATTAAAAAAATTTAAAAAAAAAAAAGTTTCTTTGGGCATGTGGGTGGTTCAGTCGGTTGAGTGTCCAACTTCGGCTCAGGTCACGATCTCAGGGTCTGTGGGTTCCAGCCCTGTGTTGGGCTCTGTGCTGACAGCTCAGAGCCCGGAGCCTGACTCAGATTGTGTCTCCTTCTCTCTGCCCCTCCCCCACTCGTGCTCTGTCTCTGTCTCTGTCTCTCTCTCTCAAAAATAAATAAACATTAAAATAAATTAAAAATAAATTTCTGGTGCTAATTTGTTTTATTCTCTTTTACCTATTTATCAGTTGCAAAACTAGTTCTGCCTTGTTTTTTAAAATATTTTTTAATGTTTATTCAGTTTTGAGAGACAGAGCACAAGTGGGGGAGGGGCAGAAAGAGAGAAAGACACAGAATCCAAAGCAGGCTCCAGGCTCTGAGCTGTCAGCACAGAACCCAATGCGGGGCTTGAACCCACAGTCCAGGAGATCATTCATGACCTGAGCCAAAGTTGGATGCTTAACTGACTGAGCCACCCAGGCGCCCCAACTAGTTTATCCCTTTTGAGGACTGTACATATGTTTAGCTAGTGGATATTTTAGTGTTTATACAATAATAAAAGTTGTGTGAAACAATTTTGATTTATGTAAACTGTATCTTAATATTATATCTATTAAGCAGCCAAAAACCAACCCAACTCTGTCCAACCATAAATTTTTCTTTCGTGAAATCTTATAAGGATAGTTGGCTACTTCTGAATATCTTTGTCATAACCATAGACTTTGTATTCTATTATAAGCGATTCATAGCTGTTGAGAAAATTTTTTTAAAAGAGGGAGCTGGGAGTTGCAAATAGATAAGGGAATTTAGGTGGGTAACAGAGGAATAAAGGTTTTGCAGTGAAACAGTGGGGGATAGAGGATCTGTGTCACAATGATGCTAATGGCGTTGTCTGGGGCCGGGGTCTGTGAAGTTCAGGAAGTGAGTATAAACCACTATGTGTCCCATAGCTCAGGACAGCATTGAATTTTTGGCTAGATCTTTTTTCTTTTTTTTTTTTTTTTTTTTTTTTTTTTTTTTTTTTTTTTTTTTATATTTATTTTGAGAGAGAGCACACAAGTGGGGGGAAGGAACAGAGAGAGAGGGGGAGAGAGAATCCCAAACAGAGGCTCAAACTCACAAAGCATGAGATCATGGCCTGAGCCAAAAATCAAGAGGCAGACGCTTAACCAACTGAGGCACCCAGGAGCCCTGGCCAGATCTTTAGTCTCAAAGTAGCGTGTGTACTTACCAGGGGTACCAAAGAAATTCAGATGATAAGGGAAGGAATTACTGGAATATTCATTCATTTTTGTATGAAATATTTTATATGGATTAACAGTCTACTCCTACTCAGTTTGTATGTCAGATGACCATATGTCATAGATAGTATGTAAGGTGCCCTGAGGGATCCCTGTGATAAACTGAAAATTGAAGATGTAATATAATGAAGATCTAAATGGATTTAAGAAAATGGCATAAACCAGCATGAGCTAGCTTGAGCTCTGTGTCAGCCACATCTTGAGGCAAAAGCAGTGACTACTTAACAAGATCTGACAAGATATTGGTTAGAACATATTTAAGAAGGCTGTCTAAAATATGGATTTATACTGACCATTTAAACAACAAATCTTATCCCCAGGGCGTATCATACCTTGCAATATTAGCTCATGATGTTTTCCTGTCAGTAGCCATTTTCTACCCACTCCATCCTTGTCTATAGAATTCTGATTTTGTCTGGAAAATCACCCTCCATGTAGTCCTGTATCACAGGGATTGATTTCTGGCTCGTCCAAGTCATTTTTGGTGCTCTCACGCCTCCTACTGTTGATTGGTTTATACATGAGCCTATTCATGACCTACTCCTTGCCAATGGATCCTGAATTCAAGTCTGTTGGGAAGCTTTGGGGATTAGTGTAAGAAGAGTATAACTCTTCACTATAAGAAGTGTTACATGGTAGGAAAAGGGCCTTTTCTGTCTCTCAAACTTGTTGTTTGAGGATGTAATGTCCATAGCTGCAACAGTCCTCTTGCCACCAAGATGGGGCAAGCCCAAGGGTAAAATAAAGTACATGGAGAATGGGAGAGCAAAAGGCTGGAAAGAACTGGATCCTTGATATGACTAAGCTTCTAAATTAAGCAGCTCTGGAAGTACTCTACTTCTAGACTTCTTATTGTATACAATGATACATTCCCTCTGAAGACACAGTAAGACTGGTTTCTGTCACTGTGGCCATAAATATTCTAACTAGTACAGATAGTTATTAAACTTTCATGATTAGCAGGATAATTTTAAAAAAAAGCACCCAGAACACAAAGATAAACCTTTGTAATGTTTTCAGTGATGTATGACTCCTATGACATTCACTTACTCTGGCATTTTACAAAAATTCACTGATCTCAATCTTTAGAAGCCTCTTTGAAAAATTTGTTAGTATATCGGGGCGCCTGGGTGGCGCAGTCGGTTAAGCGTCCGACTTCAGCCGGGTCACGATCTCGCGGTCCGTGAGTTCGAGCCCCCCGTCGGGCTCTGGGCTGATGGCTCAGAGCCTGGAGCCTGTTTCCGATTCTGTGTCTCCCTCTCTCTCTGCCCCTCCCCCGTTCATGCTCTGTCTCTCTCTGTCCCAAAAATAAATAAACGTTGAAAAAAAAAAATTAAAAAAAAAAAAGTTTAAAAAAAAAGAAAAATTTGTTAGTATAACATGAATACAATCTGTTAGTAAACTTGCATATACTGGCAGTGTGTGTTTAAAACTTTTTTTACTAATGGTGTACTAGGTCAAAAAAGTTTGAATTTCACTAGAATGGAGGGCCAGACACTGAGAAAAATTGACCTTAAAATGAATATTGTCTGACACAAAGGAAAATAATTACAAGCATCTTGTTGAATCTAAATGAAATTTGGAAAATACTCTAATGAGCAAGTAAAAATTAATTGCTCATTTAGCATAAATTATTTCATCGAATAATATTTGGAATCATTATTGACAGGTGCTGTCTTAGGTACTGAATAACAGCAGGGAGAAAAAGTCCTTTCATGGATTTTACATTTTAGTGGTCAGGGGAAACAGACAATGAACAAATGGACAAAAAAATTTACGTTGTGTGCTTTTAAGTGCTAAGAAGAAAATTCAGGACCAGGAAGAGAGAAATGAGGAAAGGAGTGGTGTTTTCCAATGAGTGCTCTGGGAAGACCTTCCTAATAAGTTGGCCTTTCTGCAGAGATGTGACGGAGAACCACATCAAAGGTCTAGGTGAGGAGGGTTCTAGTCAGAGGGAATAGCAAGACCCAAGGCCCAGATGCAGGAACACAGGTGGCACGTTCCAGGAAAAGCAGAGGAATCCTTTCACTGAGACTGGGAAGGCTGGAGAAGAAGCAAATTTGGGGGGAAGAAAATCAAAAGTTCAGCTCTGGATGTCATAACAGGAATTATGATGGACTGCTAATAACAGAAACCCAAGCTAAATGTATGAAGTTTTTCTCTCTCATAGAAGAAAATCTGAAGGTAAGAAGACTGGGCTTTTATGGCTTGACAAAGTCATCAGAATCTAAGGTTCTTTCTTCTTTACTATCCTTAACATGTGGTTTCTACCCTCAAATTCATCGTATGGTCTAAGGTGGCTGCTGGAGCTCCAACTTCCACATCTGTGTCCCAGGAAAGAAATAGAATAATAGAAGGTTAGGGCAAAACTGACACACTTTGCACCTGTCAGAAAGGCTAAAATTAACAACACAGGAAACAACAGACGTTAGTGAGGATGGGGATAAAGGGGAACTCTCTTACACTGTTGGTGGGAATGCAAACAAGTGCAGCCACTCTGTAAAACAGTATGGAGGTTCCTCAAAAAGTTAGAAATAGAACTACCCTATAATCCAGTAATTATACTTACTAGGTATTTTCCCAAAGGATACAAAAATACTGATTTGAAGGGGTGCATGCACCCCAATGTTTATAGCAGCATTATCTACAATAGTCAAAGCTTGGAAGCAGCCCAAGTGTCCATTGACTGATGATTGGATAAAGAAGCTGTGGTACATATATACAATGAAATATTACTCAGCCATCAAAAGGGATGACATCTGCCATTTGCAATGACACGGATGGAGCTGGAGAGTATTATGCTAAGTGAAATAAGACAGAGAAAAACAAATACCATAAAATTTCATTCATATGAAATTTAAGAAACAAATGAGCACAGGGGGAAAAAAGAGACAAACCAAGAAACAGACTCTTAATTATAGGGAACAAACATGGTTATTAGAGGGGAGGTGGGGGGGGGGATGGGTGAAATAGGCGATGGGGATTAAGGGGTGCACTTGTGATGAGCACTGGGTGTTGTATGGAAGTGTTAAATCACTACATTGTACGCCTGAAGCTAATGTTGCACTGTATGTTAACTAATTGGAATTTAAATAAAAACCTTTTTAAAAAGGGATACATACCAGCTCTAACCCTTTAAAGAGCCTTTCCTGAGGTTCCCACCCAACAACTGCTTATATGCCTTAATCTGCTCTGAATTGCAGGGGAATCTAGGCAATGTGGTCTTTTAGCTGGGCCTATTGCCATCTAGAATAAAATTGGAGTCCTTAGGAAAAAGAGCTGACAGGTATTAGGTGGGCAACTAGCAGCCTCTGCCATTGTCATGCTAACTTTGGGATGTCTACTAGATGTCCAAATGGAAGAGTTAGGAAAGCAGTGTAATGTATTCTTGTTATGTAAAATATCATTGATGCTTCCTTTATATTTGCTCTTTAATTATAAACTCTTTCATAGATTTAGTTGTGACCTCAGTCCACCTAATTCTATTTTTCCAATTAAGGTTTTAATTTGCTTAACCCCAAATTCTTTTCATCCAGGAAGACACTTACATAGTTGGAGTGGGACTACCCATCTTAAATGTCTTAAGTTTTTCTTTTTCTTATTTTTAGCCATGGCCTGAAGATGCCCTTGAACTTGTAGCTATGAAATTCTTAGAAACACTGGAGCTTACTGAGGTTGAAAGACGAGAGATAGTTCCAATCTGCAAACACTTTCACACTACCATTATGGATCTTTCAGAAAGGTTAATATTAATAAATTTTAAAATGACAATAATGCCTTATATTTTAACATGTCTCTCTCTGTGAAAAGCTCAAAATTTCAATAGGATTTCTATGTCTTCCAAACATTTCTGATCATTTAATTAAGATCTCAGCTTGCAATAGAATAGAAAACTACTTAATTTAGGTTTAAGGAAAAGGGGAGAATTTATTATAAAGATACAAGGGTATCTCACAAAGCTTAAGAAAAAGAATACAGCTGGATCACAGATACACTGGAAACAAGAGTTAGAAAGTCATCCTAAACCCAGAAATATCTTTTCTCTGTTTCTCATCCTATTTTGCCTCCCTTTTCTGATTCTTTCTCTTTGTAGACTGTATTTTCCTTCTTTTTCTTTTTTTTTTTTTGCATTTATTTGACTTTTTTCCACTTTTATTGACATTATTGATATAACATTATATAAATTTAACAGGTACAGCCTAATGATTTGATATATGTATATAATGTGAAATTATTACTACAATAAGTTTAGTTAACATTCTTCTCAATTTTTTCTTGTGATGAGAACTTTTAAAATCTACTCTCTTAGCAAGTTTCAAACACATAATACAGTATTGTTAACCATAGTTACCATAGGGCACATTACATCCCCAGAACTTATTAACCTTGTAATTGGAAGTTTGTATCTTTTGACCACATTCATCCATTTCCCCCACCCCCTACCCTCTGCCTCTGGAACCACTAGTTTATTCTCCATGTCTATGAGTTCTAGTTCTCCTCCTCCTCCTCCTCCTCTTCTTCCTCCTCCTCCTTCTTCTTTAGGTTCCACATATAAATATATAAATGAGATCATATGTATTTGGCAGACTGAGTTTTCTACATCTCCTTGCATGTGGAGGAAATTGTCTGCCTCTTGATTCTCAAGTTTACTTCTTGCAATTCCACCAACAGGCAGGCAGATTGGCTGTTTCCAGCTCCCTGTTCTAAATTTATCCCAAAATGTGATAAGCCTCATTTGTGTCCAGTGCCCAACCCTAGTCTAATCAGCTGTGGTTAAAGTGGCAGGTTTCAGAGAACAAACATTGCTGATGGAGCACTGGATGGAAGTTTTCAGAAAAGGGAAGAGGGGTGGTGGGCTGTGGATAACTCAGAAGTATCTATTTCATCTCTGTTCATCTCTGACACCCTCATTTCAAAAGTATGTAAAGCCAAGCGCTCATAGTATATTGCCTATCCAGAATCATACAGCCTTGTGGCATAGTTGGATTGGACGGGTGCACCAAGCAGTGGGCTCTACTCTGTGTACTTGCCATGAAACAATGTTGCTTCCATTGTTTCCATGTGTTATGTGTAGTAGTTTTACGCTTCTGGCCATACTCCACTCAGCCAAAGTGACAACACTTTGTGCAAGGAATGGGGACTCGTCCTTGCTATCCTATCTGCAACACCTCTCCCTATGACACTTCCCTACCTTACACAGTATCTTGAGTCCCTTACAGTGCTAGTTCCTCCTAGCTTATGACACATATAAAAAGGCCTGTATCTTTCTTGTTCTTGCTCACCTTTGATACCCATCTTTGGTGATTTGTGCTTTTTTTTTTTTTTTTTATTAAATTTTTTTTTTTCAACGTTTATTTATTTTTGGGACAGAGAGAGACAGAGCACGAACGGGGGAGGGGCAGAGAGAGAGGGAGACACAGAATCGGAAACAGGCTCCAGGCTCTGAGCCATCAGCCCAGAGCCTGACGCGGGGCTCGAACTCCCGGACCGCGAGATCGTGACCTGGCTGAAGTCGGACGCCTAACCGACTGCGCCACCCAGGCGCCCCAATTTGTGCTTTTTAAATACTTCATTGCTATTTGATATTTTGCAGATAAGAAATCAGGGCATGCTTATGTGGAGAATTCTTAGAATGTTATAAAGTTTAAGAACTCAGCAGCTTCTGAATGAAATTAACCTTTATTCTTATAGGTTTGTTGTTGATGCTTTGTTGAATGCACTTCTTACTCTGTGCAACTCATTACTTTGGAGTAAGATATGTTATCTGTCTCTCTTAGGTTCTTGCAGCAGTTAGGACGGCATAACTATGTTACTGCTACTTCTTACCTCGAACTTATTGCCTCATTTCGACAGCTTTTGACTAAGAGGCGACAAGCTGTCATGGAAGCAAAACAGAGATATGTGAATGGGCTTGACAAATTAGCTTTTGCCGAGTCTCAGGTAAATTTGATGAGCTGCTCACAATGATAATATATAATTATAATTTTTCATTGGGAAATATAAGAAATCATAAATAACGAAGAGTTACAATTTATCAAGAATACATTATATGCCAGGCATTGTGTTATGTGCCTCACACACATTCCTTCAGTTATTCCTCATAACCACTCAGTGAGGTAGACACTAATGATCCTCATTTTACAAACGAGTTAAAGTCAGTTTTAGAGAAATTCACTAAGTTTCCCAGACTCAAATACAGACTTAAATAGTCCTGTTTTATTCTTAATTTTTTGGCATTTGGAGAGAATACAGGAAGTCTGAGTTTCCTTTTTTTATTGTAATATAAGGTTTTATTAAATATACGATTTTTTTAAATAAGTCAAGTGCTAGTAATACTTACTAGCATTAGTTCACTGTAAGCAATACAGGCTTGGGTGATTCATATGCACTGTATACCATGCATCATATAATAGGGACACTCCACCCTGCCACCTTTTTTCTATCTGCATTTATTCCATGACAACTGCATCCTCTCACAGCTCTGTCATATACGTGAGGAAGATAAAGTCTCTTGTGAAGAAAACTGGCATGGCTTTGTTTATCATATAAATAAGTGAGGGAAAAAGTTAAGGTTCACTGGCCCTAATGCTGTATGATACGCTTTATGTTTCAATTTTTTGTGGTTAGCTTCCGTAGCTCTTGTAGCTATGAAAACTTAATGACAAATTGTCTGTTTAGGTTGGAGAAATGAAAATGGAGCTTGTTCAATTACAGCCCAAATTGGAAGAAGCTAAAATTGAAAATGCACATATGATGCAGGTAGAGTATTCTGAGTTTTTAATTTTTTATTTATTTTTAATGTTTATTTTTTTTTGAGAGAGAGAGAGAGACAGAGCACGAGCAGGGGAGGAGCAGAGAGGGAGGGAGATTCAGAATCTGAAGCAGGCTCCAGACTCTGAGCTGTCAGCACAGAGCCCAATGCAGGACTCGAACCCACGAACCGTGAGATCATGACCTGAGCTGAAGTCAGACACTTAACCGACGAAGCCACCCAAGTGTCCCTATCGTGAGTTTTTAAAAATTGATGTCAGACGACAATTGAAATGTGTAAAATTAGCCTTGAAAATATGCCTTAATTTTTTGCCACTACACCACTAGATCTTAGGGGCCTTACCCTTTTCTACTGCCTGGCTATCTTCCGGAGTCCCACATGAGTTCTGTGGATTTTGAAAGGAAGCGGGAAGCCCATTATTCCGTTAGGTCCCATGTATTCGCATTTCTCCTCATTCTATCCTGGGACCTCCTGCCCTTCAGCATGATATGTTGAATTCCCTAATCTCCAAACATTCTTTTGCCTTTAGGAAGGAGAAAGCAATAGGATGTTGGAGGAATTGTCTTTGTTTTTTTCTTTCTTTAGATTATCGAGATAGAGTCTGCACAAGTGGAAGCAAAAAGAAAGTTTGTGAAATTAGATGAAGAGATAGCCAGTGGCAAGGCTGAGGAAGCCCAAGCTCTGAAAAATGAGTGTGAGAGTGACCTGGCTGAGGCAATTCCAGCCTTGGAAGCAGCCCTGTCTGCCCTGGATACACTCAAGGCAAGTGTTTGAATTCACTACCTTGCGTTTCGACAAACTAGGTCACAGGTCCCTGTTTCATTAGGTGTGGCTCTGTTCCGCTGGGTGGCACTTCACTCTAGATGACCACGAGCATTAATTTAAGTAACTGTTTATCACTGTGTGCCAAGGACTCTTAGCACTCCAACCTCTGAAACTCAGAGGATTCATGATGCCTTCAAACCTCGCCGATTAATATCATTGATATTAGGTTCCCTTTTCACTGAGAGTCTGTAGCCTTGTACTGTTCCTGGTATCAGGCTATATGAGTTAGGTTGCAGTTGCAGGGTAGAGAACTGTCTCTATTTAATACAAGCAGACAGGGATTCCTTAAAGGATTCCTTAGAGAATTCTGTAAATGGATTACACAAGTGTTGGAAGAGCTGAAGAAAGAGATCCAAGGCTGAACTGCCAGGAATGACTCCCAAAGACAAACTGAAATGGCCTACCAGAGGAACGATCCCTCTGAGTCAGAAGCCTGCAGAGCCACCCTCCAGAGCCTCCACTGTAACCTCTATCAGCAAACGAGGTGCCTCACACCCTGCCCATCGCCCTGTTTATTTAGTCAGAACTCTGGTATCATTCAGGTGATCTATGGCGGAACCCAATGACCACCCACAGCTCCATTTATGAGGAACTAAGATATATATATATAGTTGTTAGCTTTCCAGCAATTGCAAAGAATGTCAGAAGGATATTGGAATGGATGATATGTATGTGGATCTATTGTGTCTGTCATAACAATATATGTCTTTTTAGAAAATAAGTTTAAATTAGGGTCTACCTCTACTTCAGTTTTTTGGTAAAACTAATATATAAGTAAATATAGAATTAAGTCTTTATCTAACTTAGTGTTCTTAACCTGGGCTCAGTGTATGGGCTTGTTATATGATTGTATGCAAATTTTTTGTATACGTGCAAAAATATTTCTGGAGGCTTCATAGGTGTCAATATTCTCATGAGGATCTATGAACTCCCAAACATTTGAGAACCATTGGTCTTAATCTGTGCTGAATTTAAATTCTCTTTTATTAATTATTTTATAATTATGCAAAGCCAAAACCAGTTATAATTCCAAATGAAAATCAATGCTATGTTCTAACATAATTGTTGGAAATTACAGTAAATCAATTAATTTCCAACATAATTGATGTTATTCTCCAACATTAGTTTTTTAAATTCTCATTACTTAAAAATAAAGTACTCTGAGGGTACTCTGTTCTCTTTCAATTTAGCCAGCTGACATTACAATTGTGAAATCAATGAAGAATCCTCCGTCTGGTGTTAAATTAGTTATGGCTGCTATCTGTGTCATGAAAGATATAAAACCAGAAAAAATTTCAGATCCTTCAGGAACTGGAGGCAAGGTAATAACTAGACACAAATCTAAATCATATTCATGATTATACATAACACCTTGCAGTAACTATTATCAAATTAAATGTCAACAGTATCCAGTTCAGGAAAGAAACCTCGTTTTCCAGATTGGACAGATTCAGAAGAAAGTATGGAAAACACTATCTGCATGTATTCCAGGGTAAAGCGAAGGCAGTACAGCCTCAGAAAAATGTGCTTCCAATTGCTTCTGTTTCTTTTTCTGCCTGTGCAGTGTTACCTGCTATCACAGGGTGGGATTAAATAAACACTGAGGTTTGTGAGATGTTTCCAGCTAAGAGTCTCAGGAACTTTCTCGATAACCACATAGGTGTTATTTCAGAGCATTCAAAAAATTCTGCTGAGTTAAGCAATATAGTGAAGTTGTTCAAAGCATGCGTTATACAACCAGAATGTCTGTATTCAAAAATCCTGTCCTGCCAGCCATGTGACCTTGGGCAAGATACTTAATTAACCTTTGTGGAATTATTATAGTACATAATTATTATAGTACCTGCTGCACAAAGTTAATGTGAGGATTAGATTACACATATGGATAGATACATACAGATTATACATATAGGTAGATACATAAAGATTATACATACAGGTAGATACATATAGATTATACATATAGATAATACATATAAAGTTCTTATGTATAAAGCCTTATAAACAATAAGTTTGCAATAGATGTTAGCTGTTTTTTTTTTTTTAAATGTTTTTATTTTTGAGAGAGTATGAGTGGGGGAGGGGCGGAGAGAGAGGAAGACACAGAATCTGAAGCAGGCTCCAGGCTCTGAGCGGTCAGCACAGAGCCCGACGTGGGGCTTGAACTCACGGACTGTGAGATCATGACCTGAGCCGAAGTCAGACACTTAACCGACTGAGCCACCCAGGCACCCCATATGTTACCTGTTGTTATTATGATTATTAGTCAAGGTTATAGCCCTTAAAAAGGAAGGCATAACATCCATCCTAAACTAAATCTATGGACTTATTTTCTTTTCAGGCTTATTTATAGTACCTAGGTTTCAATTCCTGAATTGGGGAATTGGGATGTGTGTGTACATGCATAATAGAAAATAAATAGCTTCTTACTTTACCAAGTTATCTCATTTATATACACACTTACAACCCTACCTATCAGGATTCTGGAATTAAGAAAAAGGATGGTGAGCTACTTACTTAACATCTTTGCCAGCACAAGTACTATGTGCTTTATCCTAGAACTGGCGGAGTGATGTGTAATCTTTTTCTTCTTACTCTTCTTTATCTCACTTGGGGAGCCTAGGTGGGTGAGGCAGTCATCTATAAGAAAAATGTTTGCTACCTGTCTTAGTCCATTTGGGCTGCTATTACAAATTACCATACACTGGGGTGGCTTATATTTATATTTCTCATAGTTCTGGAGGCTGGGAATTCTGAGACCAAGGCTCCAGTAGATTCAGTGTCTGGTGGAAGGCCCACTTTCTGCTTTATAGATGGTTTGCTTTTCACATGGCAGAAGTAGGAGGGAGCTCTCTGAGGAATCTTTTATAAGGACACTAACCCCATTCGTGACCTAATCACCTCCTCACAATCCCACCTCCAAATACCATCACACTGGGGATTACGTTTCAACATACGAATTTTGATGGGGGAGGACACAATTGTCAGTCAATAGCACTACTTTTCTGGTTTGAAAGAATCAAGAGTAAAGGAAAACAAAACTGGAAATAATAAAAATACATTTTCTTATATGAAATTCTGATGGTGTTTATGCTAGTTGCTTTTCTTACATTTCCTAAAGAGAAATAATTGCATCATTTGCCCTTTCAATGTTTACTTTTTTATAATAAATTCAATGTATAAATACATGTTCATATTTTAAATGTTTGATGTGTTCAATATGTTCTTGGAGAGAGGAGTCTCTTTATTTCCAAATAAAGTTGATATTTTGAAAGTGTATGGTTTCTCTGGATAATACAGCTTAAACTTCAAGAAGAAAAATTTATATTGAGCATCTTTAATCGTACATTTAATACGTTTCCATAAATTTTATTTATAGATATTAGATTACTGGGGACCTAGCAAAAAGCTTCTGGGAGATATGAATTTCTTAAGAGAGTTGAGAGAATATGACAAGGACAACATTCCAGTGAGTTTCATTGGTTTTTTTGTATAACTTTGCCAAAGATGTATAAGATCTTTAACATTATGCAATGTTATATAAAACATAAGAGGATGGTCCATATTTAAGATTAAAAGAATGAAGGAATTATTGACTTTCTTATGAATTCTCATAATGAATAAAACTGCTGCTTCAGACCATTGAAAGTCATTTAATAAGTTACTATTTTAGTGTATTATTAACATGAAACAAGTCTCTGTCTTCTTAGAATAGTTTAATAAATCTGAAACACAAGTGTATGTGAGATAAAAAAGTATAGTGCACTTTTCCATCCAAACTTGTATTTATTTATGTCTAATTATTTTTTTCTCCTTTTTCCATATATCTTTCCAATCTCCAAAATTCTTAATTTTTTTTAGAGGAAACATCTTGCCTCGATGTCTATAATCTTGCATATTTTGCTCACAAATATGACTTGTGTTTCTGCTACAATACTTGACCTTGGTTTTTAAAGACAACATAACTTTCTTACACAACTTTTTGCTGTGCATGATTATTTTTTCATCTTATGATTGTATGATACATGTTGAAATTTTAAGATCTAAATGCTTGCTGTATAGGTGACTGTTATGCAGAAGATACGTGGCGAGTACCTAACAAACCCTGAATTTGACCCTTCTAAGATTGCGAAAGCTTCTTCTGCTGCTGAGGGTCTGTGTAAGTGGATCATGGCTATGGAAGTGTATGACAGAGTTGCAAAGGTATTTTGAGGATCAGTACATTCATTTTGTCTTGAAATATTCCCAGAAATTAAAATCTATGCCTATATTGACAAGTTAAGAAGTTTCTAGAAATGATACCAGCAAGAATTTGTCTTGCTACAGCACAAACGCCAGATGTTAAGTACCTAGTAGATGAAGAGAATACTTGTGTGTGACATAACCTTGCCAGGGCTAGTGTGAGTGGTAGCACTGTGGGAACAGGGGTGAATTGGCCAGACTGACCTATAGCTATAGAGACTTAGGGTATAAAAGAATTAGAGTTTCAGGAGCAAAGAAAACAAAACATCAAGGGCAAAGTGGCAGATTAAAAAGCTGATTCAAGGGGTCAAAAGTAGGAAGGTCCAGTAAAGTTAAGAGGTAGAGCATGGAAAGTTGCCCTGAAGCAATGGCATGCATTGATAGGGAAACTTTTATGGAGAATGGTTAAAAGCACTTTGTAACTTTGGCTAGCAAAGGGCCAGGGAAACACTGGCCTTGCCCTCTGTAGCTGGCAGAATTCTACTGAGGGAAGCAGGAAATACAAATAAAATGTCAGAGAAAAATACATGGTAGCAAGTGTTTAGAATAACCTCAGAGTATAGAATAAATGATCAGGCTGTCACAATTTGGAAACATACTCCTAATAAGATACATGTGCCTGTGGAGAGGTAGGGATTTTGATTGTTAGTTTCAGGGGAGTAGACTTGTCAAAGGAAAAGAAATTAGTTTTATCTGAGATATTCTTCATTGAGCATCGTGGGGAGAGGTCCCCATTGCAAATTTTGAGCTCTCAACCTAGCTCATCTCCACACATCTCCCAAGGCATGTGGAATAAGGCAGAGAAGCCAAGGCATTTACACTACGCTGCCATTTCAGTTCTGATGCAGCTGTCCCATGTTGTTAGGGAAGGGTTGGAGGGAGATATTCAGGAAGGTCTCCTCTGAAGTCAAAAGTAGAAAGTGGAGCTGCCTGCTTTCTCTCTATTTATTTAACACATTCCAGGATTTCAGCCCAAAGGAGAGAAAACAGGACATTTGGTGTCTGATCCCTGCCTCCTCCCTCCCTCTTTGCCATCAGCTTTGTTCATGGCAATGAACCAGAAGATACAGAACTTCCTTCTTTCAAACTGGCATATAGTCTTTTTGGTCATCTTCTAAATTCTTTTTCCCCATGGTTTAAAATACACTCCAGAATCAAGTTGGCCAAACCCCATTCTTGATATACTAATGAGCATAATAGGATAAGAACTTTAGAAAATCCCCTTTCTCTCAATAAAGTGTGGCTTTTCAAGACTTGTTGAGGAAAAGTTTGTTTTGGTAGTGAAACTGAACATCAAGGCTTTCTTTCTCTTTGTACCTGTTATCATAGTCTTAATCCCTCCAAGGCAAATGTATGCCTCGGCCAACTGGGAAAAAGACTACAGACTTGAAAATGCCACACACACACACACACACACACACACACACACACACACACACACACAGGCATATTCATATATTTTAAATATTTATAATCTCCGTTACATGTGTTTTCCTGTGTTTTTGGCAACAGTTGAATGGCAACTTCTCATTCTTTTGAGACATTTTGCTACGTATTGTACTGGTTTCGCTACATATTCTAACATATTGTTGGTCCAGAATAATTCATCTATTTTATAGATGATCGTTTGCTAGTCCAGAATGATTTATATGTTTTATATGACATATAAATATATTTTACTTTATTGGGGTAAAAAATACATAAGATTTAAGGCAAAATGCTTATTTTGCATAATTTATTATTATAAGTAACAAATGTATTTCTAATAATAATTAATCAACTTTTAACCCATAGTATCTGTAAAGGGTTATTTAGGTGTCTGTTTTACATAGCACACATCGTGGCTACATACATTATTCCCAAACAGGTAGTAGCTCCTAAGAAAGCCCGCTTAGCAGAAGCTCAGAAGTCCCTAGCTGAGACCATGGAGCTTTTGAATCAGAAGAGAGCAGAACTGGCAGAAGTAGAACATCATGTGGAAAATTTACAAAGAACATTTATCGAGAAAACTGAGGAAAAGGCTCGTTTAGAAGATCAGGTGGAACTCTGCGCTAAGAAACTAGAAAGAGCCTCAAAACTAATTGGAGGACTGGGTGGAGAAAAATCAAGGTCAGATTTCTGCTCACTTGAACAGTATTTTAGAAAGTCAGGCATGTATATGTTACTTTCTTTGGGTATTTATTATGATTACTGATTTGTAAATGGCTGGTTTAGAATGTGGGGCATTCTACAAGGCACTTGGCCAGGCTTCTCCAAACAATATATTAATGTCAAGGATGGTGTTTGCAACTTCCTTCTAAATGCTTTTTTTCTTAATTAGCAAAATAAGGCAAATGATCACTTTTAATCTAAGTGGTGAGTATGTGGGTCATCATTATATAATTTTTTTCCGATCTTATGTGTGTTCAAACTTTATTATAATGTTTGTAGTAGACATATGGCTCACTTTCTTGAAATTTATTTCAAAGAAGATATAACTGGATTGATCTAACTAAACCAGTTAGCTTTATTCTAATCTATTTATTCGTACTGACCAGCCAACTATCTCACTTATTAATTCTATATGTTGAATGAATAGCATGATAAGGTAATAGGCCTTTGACAGTATTTTGTAGTGCAGATTAGGTGGTTTTGAAATGCACTTTTTTACTGTAAAGCTTCATTAAATGGAAAAGAAAAACAACCTTAACAATAGTATGCCACTTAAACAATAGTATACCTAAACAATAATATACAACTTAAATGTATTTTTTGGTAATGAATTACAAATGTTTTTGTGTTTTACAGACTAACAATAAATACTGAAACAAATAACAGGGCTTCTAGACCAAATCATCCCGGAGAAAATTATTAGACAAAATGCTGGCCTGTTTTTATTTTTGTTCTTGTTTATTCTGAAGGGTCAAGTTCTGCAAGAAATGCCTAATAATCTAATAATGAAAGGTGGATTGTCATTCATATTGCATAGATATGGATTATAGCATTTCAGAACTAGAAGGGACCTAGCCTCCTCATTTTGTAGAGATAAGCAAAAGTCCAACATTTCATGACTTTTTGTTATAGAGTTTGGACTAGAAGCCCCTTACCCTTTCAAATGCTGTCTTCCATCATTCTCTATAGTGAGGCTGTTTTGCCTTTGGTTGATCTCACAGATGGTCTCAAGCTGCAGATGACCTTCAGGTGATATATGAAAATTTGACTGGTGACGTCTTAGTATCAGCAGGAGTAATAGCCTATCTTGGTGCTTTCACTTCTGGCTTTCGACAAACATGTACAGAAGATTGGAGTATGTTGTGCAAGGTAGTGCTTTCATATTTCATGAGTTTCTTTTTGAACATGCAAAGTATGTGTTGGGGTATCTTGGAGAAAAAGATGGTAATAAAAATGAAGAAGGGAAGAAATAGCTGGAAGTATGGGGTCTTGTTCTTTGCTTCTTGTTAGATCAGTAAAATGCTTTCATTGTCCAACTCGCAGCTTTTTCTATTTTTTAGAGTCATTAAATAATATCTAATGACAAATCAATAATTTTTTTTTAAACTGAGTTGAATCCTCAGCAGTTTTTTTTTTTTAAGTTTATTTATTTTTGAGACAGAGAGAGACAGACAGAGCATGAACGGGGGAGGGGCAGAGAGAGAGAGGGAGACACAGAATCGGAAGCAGGCTCCAGGCTTTGAGCCATCAGCCCAGAGCTCCACGCGGGGCTCGAACTCACGGACCGCAAGATCGTGACCTGAGCTGAAGTCGGACGCTTAACCGACTGAGCCACCCAGGTGCCCCGACAAATCAATAATTTTAAAAATATTTCAACCAACAAGAATAAGGGAAACATTAGATATTTGTTTATTTCTTACAGAAGAAAAGAATTCCATGTTCAGAGGAGTTCTCATTGAGTAAGACTCTGGGTGATCCAGTAAAAATTAGAGCCTGGAACATAGCTGGACTGCCAACAGATACTTTCTCAATAGATAATGGAGTGATTGTTAATAACTCCAGGCGTTGGTAAGGAGCATAAAGTATTTTTCAATGATTTTATTTGAAAGTAATTAAACATGGAGAAAAGTTGACAGGATTTTAAAGTAAGTACCTACATAACTGCCACCTCCTAGATTCTACAATTGACAGTTTATTATTCTTGCTGCTTTATCACATGTTTATCCATCGCTCCATCCATCCTCCAACTCATCCTGTTTCTACCTTTCAACATAAGTTGCAGATACGGTTATACTCCCCCCCACCCCGAATGCTTCAGCATGCATATCATTAACTTAAGTTGTTTTTGTTTGTTTTTCTTTCTTTTTTTTTAATGTTTATTTATTTTGAGAAAGAGAGAAACAGAGAGAGTGGGGGAGGAACAGAGAGAGAGGGAGAGAGAGAAGTCCAAGCAGGCTTCATGTGGAGTTCAGTGCAGAACCCAATGCAGGGTTCGATCCCACAATTGTGAGATCATGACCTGAGCCGAAATCAAGAGTAAGACACTAAACCGACTGAGCCACCCAGGTCCCCCATTTTTTTTTGAGGTAAAATTTATGTACAATGGAATACACAAGACTTAAGTATACCATTCAATGAGTTCCAACAAAAATGTACACTTGGTACAGATACAGGACATGACTAACATCCAGGAAGTTCTCTTATGTCCCTTCCCAGTAAATCTCCACTCTCACCCCACAGAAGGAAATTATTCTGATTATCTTCCACCACAGGCTAGTTTTGCCTGTTCTAGAACTTCATATAAACAGAACATACTGTAGGTACTCTTGTGTAAGGCTTCTTCCACAAAGCATAACATTCCTATTTTTTTTTGTTGCTGAGTAATATTCCATCATATGACTATATCACCATGCATTCTCCTGTTGATGGACACCTCGGCTCTTTGGAGTTTGGGCTATTAAATGTATTTATTTTTACTGGGTATTTCTACCTGTTTTTAAGATACTATAACTTGATAATTTGTGCCACTTCATGGATATCTTTTTTCAATTGCTATCATTGATAGTGTAATAACTATATCAACTTTTCAAATGGTTTTATTATCCTTTTATTTATCTCACTTTGAAAAACTTGAACAAGAATTCATATCTGAGAATTCATTTCCTATAAATGATTATTTATTCATGTTATCATCTCATTTTTAGTCTTTTCATGGGACTATATCTCAAACATACTGTGATAAATACTGTTGAGCTCTTATATTCATGAGGTACTGCTGTAAGTGTCCTGTATTCTCACAAATTCCTATGAATTGACATTATTATTATTCCATCTTACAGATGAGAAATTGAGGCCCAGAGTGATTTAATATTTTGAAATTTAGTAAGATAACTGTATTAATAAATGGTGGAGCCAGAATTTTAACCCAGACAATTTAACTTTCAAATCCTTGTTCTTGATTACTATGTTAAGTGAAATGTGGGACAGGATATCACATTTACTACCTTTAAAACTGTAAGGGAAATTTCAGTCATCTTGTGGAATATGAGGTATATATATAAGGAAATCTTACATTGTGAAAGTCTGAGTTACTGTTTGTTATATTCTTTGGAAACCCTACTAGATACTTCAAGACATCTAAGTCTCCTTTACGTTGACAGTATCATTTTAACAAAATAAGGATGTGAGTGATCATTTTTTTGGTGTTTATCCACTCAGAGTTTATTTGAGCATGAACATCCTTAGGTTGAAACTTCTAGACATATTAGTAAATGTATTATAATCTGAGAAAGTATAGTTATTAAAAACATGTGTTCTCTGGCAGAGCAGGGAAAATTCTACTTAACAGAATATTAGACCCCAAGTCTTTATAGTTCGGTTTTAGAACTGTTTTCAATGCATGGGTGGTTATTCAGATTTTTTAAATTGTAATTCAGAAAATGCTGTTGGTATATCTATGTCTTAATTGAAATTCAAGGAAACTAGAGATTTCAGGGTTGTATGTAAATTGAGGAAAACAATCTGTCATTTTCTGGCAGAAAGTTGACTTTTCTAATAAAGTAATTTTCTAATGGAGTTACCCTTTTTATCTGTTATTTGCAGAATAGCTGGTCATGGATTGGGTACTTTTAAAGGATTAATGTCCTTCCTCATAGCTCAGACTTTGCTTCTTGCCACTTGAGCCCAGTATAGTCATCTATGGCTGTCACCCTTGATGTCACCAATATAAGTGGCCACAGAGGCTTTTTTCCTGCATCGGGAGAGAAAGAGAGAGAGAGAGAGAGAGAGTGAGAGTTCATCTTGGTATTCTTTCTGAAGTTCTCTGAGTTTCTCAGATCTATTTCATTTTCTCTCTCTCTTATCTCTGGGATTACTTATGTTTGTAAGTCTTTTTGATATTGTCCCAAAGCTATGGGATGCTCTGTTTTGGTTTTAGCCACTTCTTTCTTTTTGAGTTTCAGTCTAGGTAACTTCTATAAAACTGTCTGGTTCTGCTGAGTCCACTACATACAGCCCATGAAAGGAAATATTTAGATTTGACATCACATTTTTTTATTTCTAGTGTTTCCATTTGACTCTTTCTTATAATTTCATCTCTCTGATGAAGATCTTCTCTTTAGGCATGTTATCCACCTTTTCCAGTAACTCTTTTACATTTTAATCACAGTTATTGTTAAATTTCTTGTCTAATATTTCCAACATTTATGTCCTCTGTGAGTCTGTTTCTGTTAATTTCTTTGTCTCCTGAGAATGTTTAGACATTTTTTTCCTTGCTTATTTAAGTATCTCATAATATTTGCTTGAATGCCAGATATCATGGGTCCAACAATGGGGACTGAGCTAAACAGTATTAACTACTGGAAATGAGCATTCCTCTTTTTCTATCATGACATTAGTACAGAGATTTGAGTCAGCCTAATCATGAGTTGCGCTGGGTTTGGGTTTTGTTGCTCAGATAAAGTTCAGAAGACCAAAAACTTTAAATTAATCTAGCCATGGGTCGATGCTTAGAATGAGGGTTAGAGTTCTGCAGTGTTTTTAATCTGTGTTAGTTTTGTCTTCAGCTTTCATCTGTTCATGAATGCCCATGACACAGAAAGTGTGCCTCTACATTTTTGCTTTTTCCCTGGAGGTGGATTGCTGTTCTTTTGTGTACCATGTTGGGTTGTTATGGGGCAAAGTGGGAGTTCTCTGTAATTTTGATTCTTACTCAGTCTTAGAAAATCCTTGTTCATGTGGGCCTTCAAGGGTAGGACTTTTTCACCTTTCTGTCCCTCCTTCCTATGACAGCTGAATTCTGGCATGAAATATAGACCAATGGTTACAGATTCTCAGGGGACTTTTTCCCAGCTGGAGGTAAAACTGGAATAAAAACACTACCTTCCTGTCTCCTTATGCATAGATTTTTTTCTGTGATTTCACTAAGCCTTTTATGGGTTTAAGCTTAATACATGGGTCTCGGTTCTAGCTTCCTGCCATATATGGACTCAAGGACCCCCTTGTTTATTAGAACTGACAGTCTCCCCAAGGCTAGCTGTCATTTCAGCTCCCATATGTATTATTCTGGAATTCAGTTTTGCCTGTGTTTCTGTGTTTTTCCCTGTGTATGTTTATGTATTATGTATGTATGTCACCTATGTATTTTTCAAATGCCCTATTTTATCTACCAGTACTAGGTAGCAGGAGGATTTTTTTTTTTTTAATTATTTAGCTACTCAGTGAGAACTATGGTTTATAATTAATCCTTATTGTGCTTGTTCATGATTTCTAGAGGTTTATCTGTTTATAATATTGTGCAGTGGTCACAGCAGTACAGATTCCAGTGTCGGGATAGACGAATTCAAATTTTCCCCTGTCACTTTCTGTCTTGAGATTTTGGTAACTTACTTGACCTCTCAATGCCTTAGGTGCCCCTCCTGTAAATGGGGGTAATAATAACTCCTACCTCATAGAAATGTTGTGAGAAAGTGCCCAGCACAAATAAGTGCTCAATAAATATTAATTTTTAAAACTAATTATCATCTTCAAATTCCTCATTTTAGTGTCTATACCTCAAAATCTGACTTTGCTTACTTTTTAACCACAATGAAAATACTTTGCTGCTTTATTAACACATCGTTCTGGCTACTTAACAGCAATGCTTTTATTTGCCCCAAATTACTTCCTCTGTCAGAAGCATAGATGGATTTCTTTTTAATTCAGACTGCCCAAAGATCTCAAATGTAGGCTAGCATACTGTCATACCTATAGTAAGGTATGCTTGAAATACAAATGCTATGGCAAGGTCTCGTCTCTCTGGATACAACTCAGTTTTCCACTTATGTATGTAATACATAAGAGTGTATTAAGTTGGAATTGGATTTCTGGTGTTTTTTAAAAAACTTTTTAAATGTTTGTTTACTTTTGAGACAGAGCATGAGCAGGGGACGGGCAAAGAGAGAGGGAGACACAGAATCCAAAGCAGGCTCCAGGCTCTGAGCTGTCAGCACAGAGCCCAATGCTGGGCTCGAACTCACAGAATATGAGATACTGACCTGAGCCGAAGTCAGACGCTTAGCCAACTGAGCAACCCAGGCACCCCGGATTTCTTTTATAATAAACAACAATCTCTACTGTATTACCAAGAACATTAATTTATGTATTAACAAAAACGTTGATTAGTATTAAGTGTTAATTTACAAAAATTGTTACTTATTGAAAGGGAGTCAACAATACTATATTTTTCCAATGATAAGGATATATAAAAATGAAAACCAATTCCTTCAAACAGGACCTTGAAAAGTACTAAGAGCATCTAGTCCATTTTTAAGCAGTTGTATGCTGGGGTGCCTGGGTGGCTCAGTTGGTTAAGCGTCCAACTTTGGCTCAGGTCATGATCTCACATTCTGTGAGTTCGAGCCCCGTGTCGGGCTCTGTGCTGACAGCTCAGAGCTTGGAGCCTTCTTCAGATTCTGTGTTTCCCCCCTCTCTCTGCCCCTCCCCTCTCTCTGCCCCTCCCCTCTCTCTGCCCCTCTCCTCATGCTCTCTCTTGCTCTTAAAAATAAATAAACATAAAAAAAATTTTTAAGCAGTTGTATGCAAAATAACTTTCTTATTTCCAGAACACTTTTCCACTATTTGCTGTGATAGCAAAAGTAAATTTTAACTAGTATCTGGACCTTTTTGTATTTTTAATAGGATTTCAGCACAATTTGAGCTGGGAATGAAAACAACCAGTCAGCTAATAATTGGATTGTTCTGTCTTTTTTTTCTTTTTCAAGTTTTTATTTAAATTCAGTTAGTTAACATACAGTGTAATATTAGTTTCAGGTATAGGATTTGGCGATTCCTTACTTACATACAACACCTAATGCTCATCACAACAAATGCCCTCCTTAATCCTCATCACCTATTTAACCCTCCACTCAGCTCCCCTCCAGTAACCCTCAGTTCGTTTTCTATAGTTAAGAATCTGTTTCTTGGTTTGTCTCTCTTTGTTTTCCCCCATCTGTCTTTTTTTTCTTAAATTCCACTTATGAGTGAAATCATATAGTATTTGTCTTTCTCTGACTTATTTTGCTTAGCATAATATACTCTAACTCTATCCATGTCATTGCAAATGGCAAGATTTCATTCTTTTTGATGGCTGAGTAATATTCCACATCTTCTTTATCCATTCATGAGTCAATGGACATTTGGGCTCTTTCCATAATTTGGCTATTGTTAGTAATGCTGCTATAAACATGGGGATACATGTGCCCCTTCAAATCAGTATTTTTATATCCTTTGGGTAAATACCTAGTAGTACCATTACTGGATCATAGGGTAGATCTATTTTTAACTTTTTGAGATATCTCCATACTGTTTTCCAGAGTGGCTGTACAAGTTTGCATTCCCACCAACAGTGGGAATGATTTCATGCACTGTACTGAATATAAAAGGAACCTAGGACAGTCAATATCATCATAGAAAAAGAGGAAAGCACATTATTTTTTAAATATCTGAAACCATGAATTGTTTGTTATTGATCACAAAGCCTTTACCATAATGGCATAGAAAAATTTACTAAATAGGTCTCAAGTACATACCAGACAAAATTTGGAAACTTAGTTTTTGGTTCTACTCATAACCTGAGGGAACCCATTATAGGCTGGTAGCTCCCATTTTAAGTTTTTATCAAATAAATAGGTTTATGTTTCATATTATGTTAATAGATGTCATTTATTAAAATTACCATGAAGACCATGCATTATATTTGAAAGAGCACAGCTTACAGGTTCACAAGATTCTACTTCTGACTTGGAACTAATTTTGGAACCTTGGACAAAGTACTCCCTGAGACTGACTTTCTTCATTTCAAAGATAAATGACAAAAACTGCACATTCTCCCCAACACCTCTTATTTCCTGTGTTGTTAATTTTAGACATTCTAACTGGTATGAGGTGATATCTCATTGCAGTTTTTTTTGAGAGAGAGAGAGATAGAATGTGCATGAGCAGGGGAGGGGCAGAGGAAGGGGGAGGGAGAGAATCTTAAGCAGGCTCCACACCCAGCGTGGAGCCCAATGCGGTGCTTGATCTCACAACCAGGAGATCATGACCTGAGCCAAAATCAAGAGCTGGATGCTTAACAGACTGAGCCACCCAGGTTCTCTTCATTATGGTTTTGATTTGTATTTCCCGGATGTTGAGTGGTGTTGAGCGCCTTTTCATGTGTGTGCTAGCCATTTTTATGTCTTCTTTGGGAAAATCTATTCATGTCTTCTACCATTTATGTATATACACACACACACACACACACACACACACACACACACACACAGCACATATGCATGCATGAGCAGGGGAGGGGCAGAGAGAGAGGGGCAGAGAATCCCAAGCAGGCTTTGCACTATCAGCACAGAACCTGACATGGTGCTTGAACCCATGAAACATGAGATCATGACCTGAGCTGAAATCAAGAGGCAGATGCTTAACCCAGTGAGCCACCTAGGTGCCCCTGCCCATTTTTTAGCTAGATATTTCTGGGTGTTGAGTTTGATAAGTTCTTTATAGATTTTGGAGACTCTTTATCAGATATGTCATTTACAAACATAGTCTTCTATTCTGTCAGTTGCCTTTTCATTTTATTGATTGTTTCCTTTTCTGTGCAGAAGCATCTTGTCTTGATGAAGTCCCAATAGTTTATTTTTGCTTTTGTTTCCCTTGCCTCAAGAGACATATTTAGTAAGAAGTAGTGACAGCCAATGTCAAAGAGGTTATTGCTCTCCTCTAGGGTGGTTTTGTGTAACATTTAGGTCTTTCATCCATTTTGAATTTATTTTTGTGTATAGTATAAGAAAGTGTTTACTTTTTTCTCATAGGACTCTCGTGAAGATTAATCCTGATAATGTACATAAACACTTTGCATTGATACAGATTGATGGTGATGTTTATTATTTAAATTACATAATTTTAAAGAAATACTGACATCTATTTATTTCCCTCAGAATTTTTCTTATTATATTCTAGGCCCTTAATGATTGACCCTCAGGGTCAAGCCAATAAGTGGATCAAAAACTCTGAAAAAGAAAATCAGCTTAGCATTATTAAGTTATCTGATTCGGACTATATGAGAACACTGGAAAATTGTATTCAGTTTGGAACTCCACTTCTATTAGAAAATGTTGGTGAAGAACTGGACCCATCTTTGGAGCCTTTACTACTTAGACAAACTTTTAAGCAAGGTAGAAGTTCATTAATATTAGCTGGTAGCACTGAAAGATGGTTGGATTATCTTTAAGACATATCTTTGAGGCAAGAAAGCCACTACATAAATTTAAGAATAATGTTAATAACTCAAACTTCTGGGTCATTGTTATGTGTGAAAGGAAATTTGAAACAAGTATCAGGAATGAATTTTGGTCAGATATTCTAAAATAAATATCTTGCCCTCTGTTCATTATGTTAACCACTGTTATCTAGATGGTTGTTCAGTAGAGAATATAAAGAAGTTGAAGCCAGCCTGAAATTACTTTATCTTGTGACCATGGAGCTCAGAAAGTCCATTAGTATGAATAGTAATGGTTAATGTGGACCAGAGTTGACTTTGGGTAGATAGTGCCAACCTTACATCTTTCTGCTTATAAAAATTTTTATCTCTGCCAAGCTCTAGTATTTTTAACAGCTTTAGTAATATACAAATAATCTTGGACTCATGATTGAAAATTTATAGAGGAGGTAAGATCAAAAGGAATTTTGATTTAGAAGGCTCCATGACAACGACAGAAAATGTCTTAGACCACTCCAGAATGATTGAGTCCTGCTGTATAATTGCTTATTTGCCTGTGTGTCCATGACTTTTGTCACACCTCTATTCTATTTTATATTACTTTAAGACCCGTTACTTATCTCAGGAATGGCCTTAACATGGAGGAGCTGTACAACTGTGGCTTACTTATCATGTGTTTGCTTTCTGAAATATAGGTGGCATTGACTGCATCAGACTTGGTGAGGTCATTATTGAGTATTCCTTTGATTTCAAGTTTTATATCACCACAAAACTGAGAAATCCACACTTTATGCCAGAACTGGCTACAAAGGTGTCTTTGCTCAATTTCATGATAACTCCGGAAGGACTTGAAGATCAGTTACTAGGTATTGTTGTTGCAAAGGAGAGGTGTGTATTTTTTTTTAATTTTCTTTATTTTTTTTAAATTTACATCCAAGTTGGTAGCATATAGTGCAACAATGATTTCAGGAATAGATTCCTTAATGCCCTTTACCCATTTAGCCCATCCCCCCTCCCACAACCCTTCCAGCAACCCTCTGTTTGTTCTCCATATTTAAGAGTCTCTTATGTTTTGTCCCCCTCCCTGTTTTTATATTATTTTTGCTTCCATTCCCTTATGTTCATCTGTTTTGTATCTTAAAGTCCTCATATGAGTGAAGTGTATACATTTCCTTATATGCTTCCAGATGGCCTAAAGAGGAATATTTGTAGGTCATTAATACTTTTGTTATGTGATTATTCCAAAACCTTGTCAAATTTTATGTATTGTTATAAAATAAGTATGTAATCCTTTAAAATAGCTGTTCTGGGGGTACCTGGGTGGCTCATTCAGTTGAGTGTCCACCTCTTATTTCAGCTCAGGTCATGATCTCATGATCGTGAGATTGTACCCTGTGCTTGGGATTCTCTCCCTCCCCTTCCTTCTCCCCATCCCCCACTTGCATGCGCTCACCCTCTCTCAAAAAATAAAAATAAACATAAAAAATAAAATAAAATAGCCATTCTGTAACAAGTAAGTCATAAGCCAACCATGTTATATTGAGCTCCTAGTATGGGTAGTAGGATTCAGGAGACATGCCATGACTTCAGACTTGTATCTGATTGTTTGAGCCAAAGAGTTCATCCCTAAGAATATATGCTGTGGACAAAATCAGAAATGTGTTGAAAGACTTAAATATAGGATGTTAATGAAATAATGAAATAGTTGAGTTATATAGTGAAATAGTGAAATAAGAATGAGTGATGAAACACTTAGATAAGAATGAAAAAACAGGATACAAAACTGTACATAGTATGGGTAATATTTTGTTAAAAAAAAAAGTTAATGCATGAATTATATGTATATATATCTGTCCACTTGGGAGGGAATATGCCAGAATGTTAACAGTGGTCATCTCTAAGGGTGGCAAGATTGTGGATAATTTTAATTATTTTTTGATACTTTATGTATTTTTCCATTACTAGCATGTGTTATGTTTTAAATGAGAAAAAGATATTAAAATACCTGATAGGGCTACTAGTAAAGGATTGCTTCCTGAAAGAAATCTTTGATTCCACTTGGAGCTTCACATAGCATTATCAAGCACTCTATTTTATGAAACCAAATTATAAGGGAAATTATGTAATCGTGTGTTACTTTTGTTACTTCCAATATTTGAATCCCACTTGTATAGTATCCAAGACAGAACCATGTCCTAACATATTCCTGAACATGGTGAATTACGATATTTTGAAGTTTTATACTATATTTGTAAATATGTTAAGTGCCAATTTTGTCTTTTACCTGAAGAGACAATTGTATGATGAGTCATCTTTTCTGATTCTGCTCTTGCCGAAGAGATAATGAAAGTAACACTGAATATGAAAAAGCCAACGAATACATAAGAAGTTTTCTGTTGTGTTTCTTCTCCAGTTCTTATCCTCACAAAACTATCTAAGCCGTATGGATAAACATAGCGCATTCTTAGACTTATTAAGTTATTGCCACATTTCACATATGTGAATTTAATGATCATTTTTTGCTCATGTTTCTCAAACTATCATTTGTATGGAAATAACCTTTTTCCTTAGGATAAAGTTCGTGTTATATATCTTAGTTTGTGTTACATTTCTACAGAATTATTTAAATGTCTACAAAATTGTGATACCTAGTATTTAGATATGAACTTGATAAAATACTGCAAGTTTAGACTAAATGTTTCTATTTTTTTAGACCAGAATTAGAAGAGGAACGAAATGCCCTTATTCTTCAGTCTGCAGCTAATAAGAAACAGCTAAAAGATATAGAGAAGAAAATTTTAGAAACATTATCATCTTCAGAAGGCAACATTTTAGAAGACGAAAGTGCAATTAAAGTCTTAGACTCTGCTAAAATGATGTCCAATGAGATAACAAAGAAACAGCAGGTGAAAAAAGAGTCCTAGCAACCTTTTGACTCTTTTTCAATTTTCTCCCAGTATAACTCTGGAGAAAGTTTGTTTGCAAGGAACAGAAGCACACTCAAATTAGCTCAAATAAAAAAGATACAAGGACAGCATAAGGAATATAGTCAAAAACATTGTAATAGTGTTGTATACTGACAGATGGTAGCTATACTTGTGGTGAACATAGCATAATGTATCAACTTGTCCAGTCACTATATTTATACCTGAAACTAATGTAACATTGTGTGTCAACTATGCTCAAATTGGAAAAAAAAAAAAAAAAAAAAAAAAAAAAAAAAAAAAAAAAAAGATACAAGGGAGCATTTTATTTCCCCAATTACAGAAGTACATACTGGCCTCAAGAATAAATGGAACGTTTCTATGCTCTTTGTCTGCCCCTCTCTAAGACTGTGTAGTCCTCATATGTGCCTCTCCATCTTAAAACCAATTTCTCTGGTAACACTTTACATCTGTTCCTTCAAACATTTGTCTTGCCTGTAGAAACCGGCTTTGGTTCCATTACCTTTTATTAGCACTAATGCCCAGTACCACTTGACTTCAGCTTCTGAGGCTCTTAAAATTCTAATTCTCTGGGGGAAGAATTGATTTAGCTTATCTTGGGCCCAGTTCTATCTCTACTTCCTGACTGAATCAGCTACAAAGAGGATCATTCAGTATAAACATGACTACCCAGGCACACTCATTCGGCAGAGTCTGTAGATACTGTGTCCAAAGAAGGAAAAGTGGGTTGAATAAGTGCTCTACACATTTTTCCTATAGAATAGCATTCTATCAGATAGAGTTGTCAGCTGAAGAGCTGTTATCTTTCAGAAGTTTTTTCTTTTGGGGTCAAATATTAACACCCCTACTGTGTCCAGAAATGTTAAACATACAAGAAGCTAATTGAAAAGGTACTGTTCTATAACCCCATCAGCTAACAAATATTTGTGAAATCTACTTTCCCAGACTTTTGCTGGGTTCTGGTACACATGTTGACACCTTAAACATACACATGTGCACATTCTCTCCCTCCCCCCTTCCTCCCTCCCTCCCTCCTTCCTTCTCTCTCTCTCCCTCCCTCTCCCTCTTTCTTTCTCTCTTTCTCCCTCTCTCTGACCTATTGAAATAAAAGAAGATGAGTGACTATAGTAGACACATGTCAGATCCAGACAAAAAAAGCAAAGATTGACAGCTCTGGTATTCCCCAAACAAGAAACACAACCTTAAACTATTTTTCATTCATTCTTCTCCCTCCCTTCCTAATTTTTTCCTTCCTTTTCCTTTTTCCTCCCTCTCTCCCTCTTTGTTTCTGTCTTTCTGTCTTTCTTTTTGTCTTTCTGTCTTTCCAGCTTCTAGCATACTAAAACCTTTCCTTGTAAACCATACCTCTGTAATTTTGCCATTGAGTTAGAGGGTTATTTTTTTTAACATAAACTTTATTACATGAAAAACACATAATTAAAAAAACACATTTCCTACTTCTTAATCTTGATTCTTCTCTTCTTCTAGATTGCAGAGAAAACAGAACTCAAAATAGCAGAGTCTCGAGAAGGCTACAGACCCATTGCTAAACATTCATCAGTATTATTCTTCAGCATTGCAGACCTGGCTAACATCGATCCCATGTACCAGTACTCTCTCACCTGGTTTGTGAACCTTTACATCAACTCCATTCATGACAGGTAAACCTTCTCTAGCTTCATTCATCCTCCCTATGTTGGATTTCCACCATGCTTTCCATTAAAAAATACATAACTTTTTTTTCTTAATATGTAATATGCATTCATTACAGAGTATTTAAAAATAGGAAAAGTTGAAAGAAAGAGAGGGAGAGAGAAAGCCTCCATTTTATTCTAAGTTTTATTTCACCCCCACTCAAAATGTAGGCATAGAAGGATTAGCTTTAGTCCTCCCTGCCTCTTTTAAATATTTTAATATGGCACCTGACTTATCTTTGCTGGCAACTACAATATCTTTCTCCACCTTTGAGATCTCTAAAAAGTTTCAGTCCCAGGGTGCCTGGCTGGCTCAGTCAGTAGAGCAAGCAACTCTTGAGTCAGGTTTGTGGTTTGAGCCCATTGGGTGTGAAATTGTATGCAAAATCGGCATTCTTGAGGCACTGGTTGGCTCAGGAGGAATAGGTTAAACAGGCAGAAGGTGGCTCAAGTCATGATCTCTCTCTGGGTCAAGTGGGTTGACCATGGGGCTCTATGCTGGGCGGCTTTCTGGGAGCTGGGTAGCTATTTCAGATTCTGTAGCTGCCTTGTCTCCCTCTCAGGCCCTCCCCGTTCATCGCCTTGCTCTGTATGGCTTCTCTCTCTCTCTGTCCCTACTAAAGAGGAAACGATTTAAAAAAAAATTTTATAAATAAATATATGACAAAATGGGCCAGGGGTGCCTACGGGTGGCTCAGCTGTTGACCTCCCAGAGCTCTGCGTTTGGTCGGGTCGCCGTCAGTTTCATGATTTGGTCAGTGTTGGGCTCCAGCTGACAGTCGTCTACTTGGGTTCTCACTCTCTCCTACTCTCTCTCTCTGCCACTACACACACGCCCTGCTCTGCTCATGCACGCACTCTCTCTCAAAAATAAATAAATTTTAAAAATGAATGAATGAATGAATGAATAAAACTTAAAAAATAAAAAGCTTCAGTCCCATATTTCTTTGTAATTAATTTTTTTTTAATTTTTTAATGTTTATTTATTTTTGAGAGAGAGAGAGAGAGAGTGCCAGTGGGGGAGGGGCAGAGAGAGAGAGAGAGAGAAGAGAGAGAGAGAGAGACAGAATCTGAAGCAGGCTGAGGCTCCAGGCTCTGAGCTGTCAGCACAGAACCCGATGCGGGGCTCAAACTCACAAGCCATGAGATCATGACCTGAGCTGAAGATGCTCAACCAAGTGAGCCACCCAGGCGCCCCTTAAATTTTTTTTTTATTTGTAGAGAGAGTGTGTGCAAGCGGGCGAGAGGGGCAGAGGGAGAGAGAGAGAAAAAAAGAGAGAGGGAATCCCAAGCAGTCTCCACACTCAGCATGGAGTCCCCCCATGACCCTGGGATCATAACCTGGGCTCCATCCCATGACCCTGGGATCATAACCTGAGCTGAAATCAAGTCACTCAACTGGCTGAGCCACCCAGGTGCTCCCAGGCCCACATTTCTAATTGTTTGCTAGATATTTTCACTTTAATCAATTAATAAACATACACAGGTTTTAAAGTCAGACTGGAGTAGGGGGTGAAATCTCAGTTCTGCCACATACTAGCTACATTAGTACAGTCAAGTCAGTTAACCTTTCTGTAATTGCCTCAAATTTTTTTATCTATAAAATAGAGATAATAATCATACCTACCTTTTAGAATTGTTATAAGAATTTAATATTTGTGAAGTGTTTATCGCAGCATCTGGTGCTTAGTAACTACTGTATTTGTTAAGTAGAATAAAAATATGATTTGAGCCTACCATATATGGTCTACATGGGCTCTTGGTAGAACAGTCTCGCTGGAGTGACTGAAATCCCTAAGATTACCAGTTGGAATTTGGAATTTGAACTTACACCATCCACACGATGGAGAAAATTCAAGTTGAGGAATTGACATAAATGTCGATAACAAGTGTCAGCAAGGATGCAGAGTCATCAGAACCCTCATACACTGCTGGCAGGAATGTAAATTAGTGCTGCCACTTTGGAAATATTGAGGACGTTCTTGAAAATATTAAACATAGATTTGCCATATGATCTAGTAATCAGCAAATCCAGTGATTCTTAGGTATATACTGAAGAGAATTGGATGCAGATGTCCACACAGAAAATTACAGTCTTTTTGTTTTTAGACATAAAAAACTATATTCAAAAAATTACTTGTGTTAATTTTTCCTCCTTCAGCATGGCAATGTTATTGATGTGAAATACAGTTAGGTTCATTTGTTGTTGGTTTGGATTTTTTTAAAATTTCATTTTAGAGTTTTCCCTTCACCCTTGTTGATTTTAATTTTATTATATTTTTGAGCACATAACCCATTAATATGACTCCAGAAGTAAATCCTGAACTAAAAGGTCTGCTCAGAGAAGTGTCACTATCCCCTACTCTTCTCTCACCTTTCCATGGATCAAAGGATTGCTTTTTAAAAATTAAACTAAAATTTAAAATTAAAATTAATTTTGAGATAAATGTAGATTCACATGTAGTTATAAGAAATTATACAGTGGGGGTGCCTGGCTGGCTCAGTTGGTGGAGCATGCAACTCTTGATCTTGGGGTTGTGAGTTTGAGCCAGGCGTTGGGTGTAGAGAATAGAAAGAGAGAAAGAGAGAGAGAAAGAAAGAAAGAAAGAAAGAAAGAAAGAAAGAAAGAAAGAAAGAAAGAAAGAAAGAAAGAAAGAAAGAAAGAAGAAAGAAAGAAAGAAAGAAAGAAAGAAAGAAAGAAAGAAAGAAAGAAAGAAAGAAAGAAAGAAAGAAAACAGAGCAATCCTGTGTATTCTCTACCCAGTTTCCTCAATGGTGACATCTTGAAAACTTCTACAATGATCACAACCAGGACATTGCTGTTGATACAGTCAAGATAGGGAACACCACTGTTACCACAAGGATTCCCATGCTGCCCTTTTATAGCCACACCCACTTCTTTCCCATCCCCACCCTCTCCTTAATCTTTGAGAACCGCTAATCCATTCTCCGTTTCTGTAATTTTGTCATTTCAAGAATGTCATATAAATGGGATCATATAGCACATAACTTTTAAGGATTGGCTTTTATTCACCCAGCTTAATTCTCTGGGGACTCATTCAGGTTGTTGTGTGTGTCAGTAGTTTGTTCCTTTTTATTGCTGAGAAATATTTCATGGTATCGATGTACTACAGGACATCTGGGTTATTTCCAATTTTTAGCTCTTATGAATAACATGTACAGGTTTTTATGTGAGCATAAGTTTTCATTTCTAGGATAAATGCCCAGGAGTGCAGTTGCTGGGTCATGTGGTAATTGCTTGCTTGCTTGCTTGCTTGCTTATTTATGTATGTATGTATGTATGTATGTATGTATGTATGTATGTATGTAGTTGCCCAAACTTCCCCAGAATGAGTGTCTTTTAAATATTACTGATAAAATTTTTGGACTAAAAAAATGAAAGTAATATGTGATTATTGCAAAATTTTGAACATATAAGAGCATAAAGAAGACAGATATTAGCCATAACCACATCTGGAAGTAACCTTTTGTTCATATGTTTTCTGACTTTTCATCTTTTTTTTTTTTTTT